TGCATTGCGCGAGTACGCTTCTAGTATAATTTAAAAGTATTACAAAAATCAAACATGAACTCCAAAACGGTGTGCTCATCGTCGGTGCCAAGAATTCTTACAAGCAATATGCTCCGACCATTTAAAATTGGACACGTCGCCGGAGGACGCCTTGAACCTCTTCCAATCATGAAGAACGGCGATGAGATCGGAGACTTTGGCTCTAATACTCCGGCAACAATTGGCATGAATAGTGGATACCACATTCACATCTCTACTATTTTGGCAAAATCCACTGAAAAATATTGTGTCTAAAAACCTAACCTGAAGGCCTAACCTTTTAAATGCCCCCTTTCGCATAAGATCGAATAGCACATCTTGTTCTTTCTTTCCCGGTGAACGGTCTTTCTCGTCGTACCATTCGTCGTACAATGCAATCGTTTTTTCGTTCGATCTGATCATGTAGAAACCCGTGTTGATCGGGTTATTGTCCGACCACTGATCGCCGTTAAAGTTATCGACACTGATTTGAAGATCCAAGCTTTCGTTTGTTAATCTTGGAAATGGATTCCGTAGCCACAATACATCCATATCCTGTCACATAAAATGATAAATAAGACATTTTTTAGAATTTTGCATGTAAAATAACTAATATAACACCTTATTTCAAAAACATTCTAAAAAACTTGTTAATATGTTCAAAAAACGTTCTGTAAACTTATTGTAACAATTTTAGATAGTACGTACAATTAAGTACTCTTATGAAGCATTTTATTAGGAAATTTGAACGTTTTTGACGTTCTATAAACCCGATTTTGTTGTTGTATATTGTTGTTCTAACCGTGAATATGAAGTTGTAGCCATGCTTAAGAACATCGCCGAGAAAGAGTGTTCTTCGCCACATCATTTTTATGAAATCGTCTGACATGAAAAGCTTCTCGCCATCGTAGGTGACACCCTCCGTCTCGAGCTTGTAGCAGTGGAGGTTTAGAAAGTTGCATCTGTCATACGCGGTTTGATCGACTGCGACGATTAAAAGGTGTTTCGTAAGCGGGTGAGTATCTAACCCGAGCCAAAATGCATCTAGGAATATGTCGAGCATGGGTTTATCGCCTTCGGTGTAGGCCTTATTCGCAACGGCTAAGATCACAGTATTGTTCTCAGTTGCAGCTTTTGCCAATGCCTCTTCTAACTCATCTCCGTGAAACTCTTCATCATCGATGATCTGCAAAACAAACACACGCTATTAGGACGGAAATACAGTACGAATCAAATAACAAGCATAGATCAACACGAAGCTCACCATAGATAATGGTGATGGTGATGGTGATGGTGATGGGGATGAGGATGGTGATGGCGGTGATGATAGTGACGGTGATGGTGAAGGTGATGAAGATGGTGATGGCGAAGGTGAAAGTGAAGGTGACGGTGATGGTGATGGTGGTGGTGAGAGTGGTTTTGGACGATAAAACTTATGGGTGATGTTGGTTATGGATAAAGATCCATCCTTGTTTGATCCAAGATAGATAATAACAAGAGAGACAAGAGAGAAAATCCAGAGGCCAAGAAGAATTCGAGCCTTGGGGTGTTGATCCACTGATGCATCTTGTTCTAATGCTCTCATGACGACGGAATTAATGGTGTTTTCCGGCGAGTTATTGGTGGTGGATGTGGGTGGAGGGATGGAGTATGGTGATGATCATCTTGATGAAAAGAAGGGCCTGGAAAGCTTGAAGAAATGGAAGAAAATTGATTGATAAAGAAAAGAGGGAATGTGATACAAGCCATTCAACACACAACTAACATAACTAACTCACTCATACCTCAATGGACAAGCGACTTGTCTGTCTAATTAAGGGGACATCTTTTCTATTTTACATCCAAACCCTTCGTCTTAAGATCAAGTACACAAACAGTCCTTGTACTTTTCATGAATTATAAATATTGTTGAAGAAAGTGATTTCATAGTGTGATTGATCAGTTTCTATATTTGAATCGATAAAGTCTCCTCCTTTTGTACGTGGAACCATGTTATATCTATGAGTATTTACTGATGCTTTCTTTACTCATTGATTGTATATTTGTTTGTTGGTTCTTGTTGCTCAATTCAGTTATTCTGTGTTGGTTGTTAAATACCACATTAACCGTTGCAACTATTTAAAGATTGCAACAATTAATTATGACTATCTAACTCGACATATTTCTTTTCCAAAATGCCCTCCCTATAAAGCATGTTTAACAAGGGCTACCTAAAGTCATGCAATGCGTTTCTCGGTAGCATCAATAGCGTCAATGCATTCTTATTAATAACTCAGATGTTTTAAAAATTTATAAAATGATCCATCTTGATCTTTTCTTACGATCGTTTCGCAACTTGTATATTCTATTACCCATTTAACATCAAATTCAATCTAACAAACCACCATAGTGTAACTATAACTCAAGTGCTTAGAAGTAGTTTGATTTGTATAAAATACCTTCATAAGCAACATCATCACCTTTTTTATATCCAACCCGTTATACGAGCTCATTAATCACAGGACGAACACTTGTTTTGGGGTAGCTTGAAGTCACCGTATTTGAATCTCCGTGACCACAAAGAGAATTTTTATTCCTCTTTGAATTTGAACCTGAGACCTCTAGACACTTTTGACCTTTAGAGCCCAAACTCAAATCAATTTTATCATATTTGTTTGTCAAGTCGACATCTTTGAAAATAATGCTACAACATGAGCTTTGAAAACCAAACGATGCATGATACAAATGGGCTTGAATGGAAAAAAGAAAATGAATTTAAGAGCACTTTAACACTAGACCCTGCTTCTGGCATTGAACCATTGCTATGCATTTGGATGAGAACTCGGATCACTTTTTATGCATCAGAAGTAATCGATCAAGCTAGCTGCTGGAGTCCAGAGCACATAGTGCCAACACTCTCTTCTAAGCAAATGGACAGGTGTCATTGCAATAACTTTATCGGTCATGTACAAGAAGTTGAGCTGAAAACACTACACCTGACAGAAGACATAAATCAAAAGGTAGTTTATATATGTATGTGTTATGTATATTATATATAACAATAACCAGTCCTTTAACCAGGCCTTAGCATTAACCTTAACCGGTTCTAGGCCAAAAAACCATAACTGATCCATGACCGCTTGGGTCCTAAATGTGAGTGTCTTGTTCTACTTGGAGAATGCTGAGGAAAGGTGAGGCTTACTTGGAAAGCTCAAGCAACCAGGTGTTATTCAGGACAGGGGAATGCATCTATGGCTATAATGGGTAAGGGTTAATCCATTATCCAATTCATTTAAAATAGCGGGTAATGAAACGGGTAATTATTCATATCCATACCCAACCTATTAAGATAGCTGTTAACGAAACGGGTAATTATTCATATCCATACCCAACCTACCAAGATAGCTGGTAACGAAACGGGTAATGGATAAATGGTAAAAAAATAATATTGTTAAACATCAACATATAAGTTCATAAATATAATCTTTATTTTATATCTAATTTGTTCCAACAAACATTGTAATATTGTTTTAAATATGTTATAATGTGATATTTTACACAACAATTTAAAATTTAAAGACAACATTATGTTTGTTATATTTATTTTAGCGACCCATATTGCTTCTCATTTAATTATCCTTTTTAGTTGATGAATATGAAAAGAAAATTAAATAACAATTAATATACGTTATACAATATATAAAATAACATTCTAAAAAATATATTAATATTTAACTTTATATAATTATATGTATATGTATGTGTGTATAAACGGGTAACAGGTAAATGGATAAGAAAAACACTTTATCCATAACCTACCCATTAAAATGTCAGGTAACGGTAAGTAGATAAGTGGATGAACTTTTCTTTATCCATACTCTTATCCAACGGGTTGAAACATAACGGGTAACGGGTTTACCCTTACCCATTACGAGCTGACCTTAATTTGGTCAAACAAAAACCACCAGCAGTTAATTTTGCACCACTAAATATCTTTCATTTAAGTTGTAATATCATTATAGAACAAGGAAGGAAATGATTTGCACCAGATACATTCGGAATCAACAATTGACTTTGACTTGGCACTAAATGTATCCATCTCCAAATAGGAACTTTTCATCATCCACTAACCTCCCATTTCCATGCTTATGCTTGTAACTTAAAAACATGAGTGACTAGCAATCCCTTCATCATCAATCAACATGACTGCTGCTTCGCCAATTTCACATTCCTCTTCCTGCTACTTTACCTTACTTCTTCTTGTGGCCTTGTTTCATTTGTGCCTATCTGATAACAACTTCAATGATGTATTATGCATGGATGATGAGAAAGACGCACTTTTGCAGTTCAAACATGGCCTCATAGATGGTGCAGACCGACTTGCTTCCTGGGTGGGTGTGGAGAAGGACTGCTGTAAGTGGGCTGGGATTGTTTGTGATAACTTTACTGGTCATGTTCATCAGATTCATCTTTCTGGTCATGATGACTACAGCACAGCCAAAGAATACGAAGAAGCCTCAAAGCAGAGACTAAGAGGGGATCTAAGTCCATCCCTGCTGAATCTGAAGCAAATCAAGCATCTAGACTTGAGCTGCAACTCCTTTGGAGGAATCCAAGTTCCTACCTTTATGGGTTCTCTTGTAAACTTGAGATATCTTAACCTCTCACGTTCTGGATTTGGAGGAATTATCCCTCCTCAATTGGGGAATCTAACAGAGTTGCGCATCCTCGCTCTTGGAAGTTTTCACAGCGATACTGACAAATCTGAATTGACTAGCATGAGGAATATGCAGTGGTTGTCAAGTGTGCATTTGTTGCATCATTTGGATATGAGTGGCGTAGACCTTAGCAAAGCAGACAATTGGCTTCAGGTGATTAACACCCTTCCTTCTTTGGTTGAACTACATTTGTCTAGTAGTCAACTCTTGGATATACACCCCCATGTTGCTAGTCTTAATCTCACATCCCTTTCCTTGCTTGATCTTTCCCATAACCATTTTAACAACAGTTTCATGCCTAGGTGGATTTACAGTATAACCGGTCTTGTTTCACTAGATTTAAGTTGGTGTGGTTTACAGGGTCCTATTCCTAGTAGTTGTATTCATAGCTTCAGTAACTTGACTTCTCTTGAGTTGCCACGTTCCTGGGAACGATTTCATGAGTTCATTGGTATTAGAAGGGTTGTCTAGCATAGCTAGTAATCTCATTTCGATAGATATTAGTTCTGGTGGAGTTTCGAGTTCAGCTCTCAATTCCCTTCAAAACTTGACCTCCTCTCTTCTTAGCCTTGACCTATCAGAAAATCGACTCACCAAGCCAATACCTAAATCATTAGGTAACCTCTGCAGTCTGAGACACATTGATCTGGGAGAAAACTATTTTCCAAATATTAGATTCACAAGCCTTCTTGAAAGTCTTTTTGGATGCAAATCACCGAGCTTGGAGTCATTGTCTCTAGAGTTCTCGGGACTTTCTTGCCATCTACCAGATCAACTCGAACAACTTATGTATCTAGTGCACCTTCAACTTGGAAACAACCAAATTGCTGGTATGATTCCAGATTCAATAGGACGATTATCTTTTCTGAAGTCATTAGATCTTGATGAGAATCTTATTTCTGGTCCAATTCCATACTCAATTGGAGGATTGTCATCTTTAGAGTTGTTAGATCTATCAAATAATCAACTGAATGGCAGCCTTCCTGGTAACCTTGGTCAGCTTTTGAAGTTGAATACTTTAGATCTTTCTTCCAATTTGTTGACAGGTTTCGTGACAGAAGCTCATTTTGCCAATCTAACCAGATTGAAATACCTACGCGGAATAGGCAACAACTTAACCCTAAGACCACACAAAGCAAACTGGATTCCCTCTTTCCAGCTGCAGTACTTGTATTTAAATTCTTGGAATTTAGGGCCTCAGTTTCCACCGTGGCTGCAACTGCAGAAAGATTTAATACTTTTGGATATTAGCAACACCAGGATTTCATCAACCATCCCTAAACCATTTTGGAGATCATTCCCCAATCTACAATATATAGACATGTCACAAAATCAAATTCAAGGAAGGTTGTTCAGTATCCCTGCAACGCTCTCTGTAATCAACTTGAGTTCTAACAAGTTTAGCGGGCAATTACCTCAGCTCTCAAATACTTCATCTGCAATGATCCTGGATCTGTCAAATAATTCCTTTGTGGGATCATTACATCATTTGTTGTGTCCTTATGGTGAGAAAAGTCTACAAAGTGTTAATTTAGCACATAATCATCTATCAGGTGTCATTCCCGACTGCTGGATGAAGTGGCCGAATTTGATATTCTTAAACTTGAAGAACAACCACTTGTCAGGGGGGATTCCAAGAACTTTGGGATCTTTATCTTCCCTTGCATCATTGAACATGTGCAACAACAAGCTCTCTGGAAAATTACATGTTTCCATAAAGAACTTGACGAACTTACAAATCCTTCAACTTGCTAGAAATGAACTCGTCGGGAGAATTCCAGCATGGTTTGGAAGGGACCTTTCAAGTTTGAGAATTCTCAACCTCCGATCAAACAGTTTTGACGGAAATATAACTCATGAGCTCTGTTATCTTACCGACATCCAGATCTTGGACCTTGCTCATAATAATCTATCAGGAGATATTCCAAGATGCTTCAACAACTTCAGTGTCCTGTCTAAGAAAAAAACTTCCACGGATGGTCAATTCTTGTTCTTACAATTTGAGAATATAGACATCATGGGTATTGTTTCATTGGTGACAAAGGGACAAGAGTATACATATAGCACTATACTTGGACTGGTGATGGTTATGGACCTTTCATGTAACAATTTTTCTGGGAGCATCCCAAGTGAGCTAATGGCCCTTCAAGCATTGCAATCATTGAATTTATCAAGAAATCAGTTGATGGGAAGGATCCCAGAGAATATTGGAGATCTGGAATTACTTGAATCCTTTGATGTATCTCTGAACCAGCTTTCTGGGGACCTTCCATTGAGCTTGACAGGCTTGAGTTTCTTGAGTAGCTTCAATGTGTCCTTCAACAATTTGACTGGAAGTATCCCATCAAGCACACAACTTCAAGGCTTGAATGAGTCTAGCTTCTTTGGCAACAAACTCTGTGGAGACCCATTGACTCAGCGTTGCGGAGAAGTAGTACTACCTCATAGAGGCCAAAAAGAAGGGGATGAATCACATGGAGTGGACTGGGGCTTGATTATTAGCATCATGTTAGGATTTGTTGTTGGTTTTTGGGTCGTCGTGGCTCCATTGATGGTTAGCACAGTACAGAAGGTTGCACATTTTCATTTCTTGAGCAAATTGGGGCATATGTTTTGTGACGTTATCCATTAGTAATGTGGTAACATGTTTCATAAGTGATGATGGATGATGTAACATTCATAATGAAGTTATAGATTTGGACCTTCCTAACTACAAAGCTTCTGGTTTATTGATGATATCTTAGGCTTGTGATCGTTGAACTTGTTTGAAAACTTCTTAAATAGAAGTGTCATGTGGAAGATTGGTAACACAAAAATAAACTAGGACAGGTGCAATTTAAGATAATAAGCATTTTAAACTCGACTTGCAGACCGATAGAAATCTGTGATGTTTTGTGCTAAGATAACGAGCCAGCTAAATTTTCAAACATCAGTTATATCATTTTCTTGCCTTTTGTTATTTGGTGTTCAATACAGTTACGTACTCTTTTGTTCAATACAGTTACGTACTCTTTGCCAAGGCTCCTTCTCATGATTATCAATTTATGGAAAAAAATGAGTGTCATTTAAATGTTATTTTTATCAAATCCTACACTCAATAATTTACAACAGGATTTATTGGGATATCAACATTTGTAATATGGCTAGTACAAAAATCATAAAAATGATACAATGGAGATGAACTAGATTAGAAAATAGACTAGCAGCACAATTGAAGATTAAAAATATATATCTTGGACGCCTTATGATTGTTTCTTGGAATAAAGATCAGTGGAAACAACAAAGGGGGACTGTAAAACATTGATGGATATCACAAATTGTGGGAAAAAGGATGGAATTTTTGGTTCATACCAGGAGATAACAGCAACAAGCAAGAAAGCTGATAAGGTAGCATTGCAGTTTCCTACTTTCTAAGGCCTTTTCTTCCTATTAGTTTTTCTTTAAGAATCTGTTATTTTTCCGTTAATGGATGTGACCGTTAGTTACGACTTCCACGAATTGCGGAGAACCGTTCAAAGATTTCTCAGTGCTTTCTAGATAAGATTTTTCCATTCAATAAATACGTAAAAGTACTCTGAATATCAAACAATACCTGCATAATATTCATGCCCACAACCATTACTGCATAATGTCAAACCAAAACAATCTACCAGGTTAAACGTAATGGATGCATCATCCTCAGAGACTCAATTGGAAAACAGAAAAGTTTTCTAAGTAAAATTTCACCCAGTTCTAGAGAATTGGACAACGATATAAATCCAAGAAAACCGCATGGAACACAGTCAGGGATAACAATATTATCTCAAATGGTAAAGTAGAGAAGCAGAAATTTCCAAAATTAGAACAGATACCTTGAGTTGAGCCCATCTTCTTCTCGAATTTCACCTGCATTTCACGAACTGCCCCTGCTTCTTCTTCAATGTATGATTCATATCCCCAAATCCTAAAGCAACCAAACAAGGGAAAGAAAACCCTAAAGTCAACCATGGGCTCAATCACAGAGCACCTGTATGCCTTTAATCATTAACCAAGAGAAATTCGCATTCTCGCATTCGGAGAAACAGAAATTCGAGCTTAGAGTTATTGTTTTATGTTGGGAACTGAGTATGCGGTTGTATAATTCTTGGAATTGGACAGATTTCTAGATCGTGTATCGGAAATCACTGTATCCAAATACTGTATTTCATCCATTTAATGCCTTAGGTTAATATGAAATCAGTACCTGGATAAAGTAGAAATTTCATACACAAAATAAGACACTGATTTCGTGTGTGTGTGTATATATATATATATATATATATTCATCAGATTACTTTTTTATGTATTTATATGAGAGATCGACAGTTAAGTGGTTATATCTGTTAATGGATAAGATTGAGGAGCAGTTACAACAGAATAAAAGTTCAAAGATCAAAGTCTGACTCCATTTATAACTAAGTCTGACTCTATAAGTCTGAATAGAAAGTTCAGATTTCTGACTCCATAGGTTCAAAGTTAGGACTTAGTCAAATTACTATACTTTTGGATCGACATTTGACAATAGACCATGGCAGCCATCTTTGATATGGATGATATTAATTTGGTAATCGACAAAAGACCTTGACTTGGCAAGTAAATCTCTGATGTTGATTTGTGCATAGAATATTTAATATTCAACTATTTGTATGTTTTAACGCCTATTTCTTAATTTTTCGTTTGATTACATTGATTAAAGCATAAAGATGTTCTAAAATTGAGCTAGAACAGAGTGATAGTTTTCCTAACACTTCTCATCCGCAATAAATATGAAAACCAAATGTAACCATATAAATTCATGAAAACCAATATTATCCCAAAGTTTTCTAACGATATAAATTCATGAAAACCAAATGGAAGACAGATAGGGATAACGATATTAACCAAATTAGAACGCATACCTTGAGTAAGTGAAGCCCCATCTGCTTCTTTAATTTCGCTTGTATTTAACGAAACGCCCTTGCTTCTTCTTCAATCTATTCACATCATCCAAATCTAAATCAACCAAACATCGAAAGCAAGAAAACCCTAAAGTCAACAATGGACTCAATCACATGTATGCCTTAAATCATTAACCAAGAGAAATTCGCATTCAGAGATACATGACTTCGACTTTAGAGTTGTTATTTTTATCGTATTTGGCTTCGTTTTCGACATCTTTAGATCGGCATCCATCTCTCTTTCATCTGGCATTTCTCCGGCATAAACTTGGCGAACTTAATCTTGCTCCGCCGTGTAAACCATAAAAATTGGCGGTTAATAGTGAAGAAGAAGAACGGGGTTTTTGAAGGTTTTTGTTTGTTTCCAACAAAACTGATTTTGTAGTACCGTTTTTCAGGGGATGGTAAACAAGTCATTTTGCAGTAACCATTCCGAGTGATTGCCGTTTCGAAGCGTTAAAAAATAAAGTGAATTACAGATTTGCTCCCTAAACTTTGTTTATTACACAACCACCCTTAAGGTTTTCAATTTCTTTCGAATTTGGTCCCTAACTCTAACAGTCGATCCACCATTCTATTAACTACGAGAACAAAATCACCATTTACCATTATTATTTGTTTTCCTATTTTCAAATTATTTATATTTTTAATTAAAATAATCATTTTTTATTTGTAATTATTTTTAATATTTATAATTTAAAAAAATACTTTTTTTCCTGTATGTTCCTAGGTTCCCCTTACCAAACCTGGTGCATGGGACAATTTCTTCCATGACTTTTTGTGCGACTTAACCTGTCAGAAAAGTCGCCTAAGTCACTGTCTGGCGAGTTTATGACCGTTTTTAACAGAGTTTTTCAAGTTTTTCTGATTTGGATAAAATCAAATATCGGTTTCTCTTATCCACAATCAGTTACATACGCAAACCTATATATATATATATATATATATGTGTGTGTGTGTGTGTGTGTATGTGTGTGTGTGTGTGTAATCACTTCATCATCTGATCTCTCTCAATCCTTTTCCTCTCTTCATTGAAAATTCTGCAAAAATGTTCATGAATCAGCATCTTGAAATTTTATTCAAACACTTCATTTTTTTTAATCGTTTTACATGATACTATCAAAGCACGGAGAAAATAACAACCATGTCGTCTTTCAATTAGTTGACCAGAGATACCAATTGAAATAAGACCGTGGAGTTGGTAAGACTTGGGTTTCATGGAAATATAAATAGCCGAGTACAATTTTTTTGCTCTTTGTTTCATAAAACTATTAGCTTCTTCTTGGCTGATTATGGATAGAGTTTTCCTCTTGGAAGCCCAAGGACTCAATCGTATGGATATATAAACAAACCACAGGGTTGAAAATCATAATTTACTTTATAAAAAATGTATAAAATGTCTTGGTGCGTAACTCAGTTGACAAAAAATGAGACGATTTTGTCTAAATACAAGACATGTTCTGAGCTCTATCCCAGCCCACCTTTAGCTTCGGCCGCCAAGTGAGAGAAAAGAATGACCTCTCAAGTTATTGTCATTGAAGGCGGGTCCCATGTGGGACCGGTTGAGGTTGTCGGTTATCAACTTTTTTGTCCAAATAGAAAATGTATAAAATAATTTTTTTCCATACATTAACTTAATATTTTTGTGTTATTTTAATCGCTTGACAATCAATGATCTTTCTATTTTGTACAGGTGAACATGCTCAAAGCTGATATCATAGAGCAATCGGAGAATCTAGCCTTCTAGGTTGCACGAGCTCATCTCTTGATGTGTTATTTCTGATCATTATTTTTGTATTTTTTGTGCTCATATTTGAACTCTTTGAATGGTATGACCCCTCCGTTACCTCAAAATGAAAGCGGTGATCTCGTAGTTCTTGTTAAAAGAAGAATATGATACAGAGAAGGGAGAAATTACCAAAAAAATAATAATTGTATTTATAAACTAACATTTTTGTTGGAAGAGTACTTGACCACAAAATCATAGAACTTGTACCAAATATCACACATAAATTGAAAATATGATACCCTCCATGCCTTGCTAACCATCAACGGAGCCACGACAATCCAGAAGCCCACAACAAATCCAACCACTATGCTTATAACAAGTCTCCAATCTGGTCCACCACCTCCTTCTCCTACTTCACCCACCTTTTCACCCTGCCTCCTTTCGCATCCTAATCTGACTGGAGCACCACACAGTCTGTTGCCAACAAAGCTCCAATCCTCAAAGCTCTGTAGCTGAGTGCTTGATGGAATTCTTCCTGTCAAGTTGTTGTACGACAAGTTCAACCAATTCAAGAAACTCAAACTTGACATGCTCAAAGGAACCATCCCCTCAAGCTCATTCATCGACAAATCAAGAGCTTCTAACTCCTTCATGTCGCCAATCTTCTCAGGCATCCTCCCTGTTAATCGATTACCAGAAAAATTCAAATATTTCAACTCCACCAGCCTCGTAATCTCACTTGGAATAACCCCCGATAAATCGTTCCCTGAAAGGTCCAAGAATGTCACTAGACCAAGATTGCTGCTGTACCCAATCTCCCTTCCCTTCAACACCAACCAAGCACTGCCCATAAATTCATTTCCGGCTAGCAAGACAATTTTATTTGGATTTGCTTTTCCTGTCATGAGACTAAAATTGTGAAAGCAGTTTGGTACTTCGCCTGAAAGATTGTTATTAGCAAGGATCAGAGTTTGGATAGAATCAAGTCTGCAGATTTCATCTGGGATCTTGCCATTCAGTGTGTTCGAATGAAGGCTCAGAACCTTCAAATTTGTACCTTCTCCACCCATTGGTATCGGTATGCCGCCGATGAATCTATTTTCAGAAAGGTCGATGATCTGTAAGCTCTTTGAATTCATCAGATTCACAGGTAATTCTCCCGAGAGCTTGTTATTGCGCATGTTTAATGATTCTAACATGGATAACCTTGCCAAGGATCTTGGAATTTCACCAGTGAGATTATTGTTCTGGAAGTTCAAAAGTTTCAAGGTTCCCCAGGCCCCCCAACAGTCAGGAAGAACACCTGAAAGATTAGTATTACCCAGATTCAAATATATAACTTGTTTCTGTTCTGCATCTATTTTAGAACAAAATAAATCCTTCAGAGACACTGATGATAAATTATTATCCGAGAGATTCAGATACTGCAAACTCAAAAGCGTAGTCGAGAACCAACTTGGAATGTTATCTGAAATGCCCGTGCTGGCTAGATACAAGATGGACAAATTTGTCTGGTTTTGAAGCCAAGAAGGGAACTTTGGACCTAAACTCCAAGAATTCAAGATCAATATTTGGAGTCGGAAAGGTGGTTCCCAGTTATTAGCCGATATCTGAAGTCTTAACATGTTTGCATCCGCAAGCAAATTGGTTAAGCTGGTGAGATTAGCAAAATGATCTTCAGTCACAACACCTGTTAACAGATTGTTCCTGATGTTAAGGATCATCAGCTTCGTAAGTTGACCAACACTTTGAGGAAGAGTCCCGTTGATTTCATTATTCGAAATATCTAACCTCTCCAAAGATGATAATCTTCCTAAAGAATCTGGGAGTGGGCCAGTTATCGAATTGTAAGGAAGATGCATCCGTAGCAAAGATGATAACCTTCCTATTGAGTCAGGAAGCGGGCCCGATATTGAATTAGATTTTAGTTCTAGAGTTTGTAAGGACTGTAAATTTCCTAAAGAATCGGGGATTGACCCAGAAATTGAATTGCTGTTAAGATCGATATGAACCAAGTTCTTCATATTACCGAGTTGCGGTGGTAAATAACCAGAAAGCCCACTCGCTGCGAACCTTAAAGACTCAAGTTTAGACGACTCGCATTTGAACAAACTTGTGAGGACCTCCAACAGACTCTTCCCATTAAATTTGTTCCAAGAAAGATTGATTTCCCTCAAGTTACAAATGTTTCCTGGAGACGAATTAAGCATGGTTTGAATACTCGTGAGTTGATTATTTGACAAATCAATGGTAATAAGGGAAACCATGTTCATAAGACCAGCAGGAATCGGACCACTGAAATCACAGTTAGCAAGGTTTAAGGAAACTAGACTCGATAAACTAGATATCCAACTAGGTATCGAGTTGGTACTGAAATTGTTATCGGAAAGATCAAGGATTGAAAGCAAACTAAGATTATCCAGAGCTGAACCAGGCCTGATAGGGGGAAGTCCACAAGACGAGAAATACAGTTCCACAAGAGAAGAAGGGAGGATTCGATTCACCTGTGACCAATCAAACACTTTGCCAAGGGTAACCCCACTCATGTCAAGGTGGCGCAAAGAAGAAAGACCCGATAACCACCACAAACTCTTCACTTTTTGCGCATATTGATCACTTCTATAAACATTGTGGACACTTCTATAAACATTGTGGACACTGAGTACGCGCAACATAGAGAGATTCCCAAGTTGACTCGGAATTTCCCCAGAAAATCTTGACATAGAAAGATTCAGATAAGTCAAGGTGTGGAGAGAACCTATGAAGGTAGGAATCGGGTTCCCTCCAAAATCATTGCAGCTCAAGTCTAAGTACACGAGTGAAGTCATATTGAGCAAGGAAGGGTTGAGTTCCCCTCCAAACCTATGATCAGATCCACGAAGGTGGATCTCGCTAACATGACCAGTTTGATTGTTGCAGGTGATTCCATACCATTTGCAACAATCTTCATTGCTACTGTTCCAAGAAAGGAGTCGGTTTCCACCGTCAGTGAGGTCGTTCTTGAACTCCAAAAGAGCAAATTTCTCGGATTCAATGCATGAAACATTACTGGGGTTTTCATCAGACAAAGAAGGATGAAACAATAAAAAGATTGAGAGAGCCCAAGAGTACGAGTGAGAAATCATTGTTTGTTAGTTAAGAATCAGTAATTTGAAAAAAGATGGGGTTTTTGTTCAGGTTTTTGTAAAGATTGGATGGTTTAAAGAATGTCAAGTGAATGTTTGAATGGTGAAGAATGGAAGAGCCAATTAGTTCACTGCATATTATGCCTATGGGCTCTGCATGACATAAGATTTTAGCATGCTCAGAAGAAACCATTGTTTATTTACAAAAATACCTACTTTTCTATAATTTATCAGAATGATTAGTTTATTGGCAAGGAAGAGTAAAAAGTCAATAAGCCGTGTCAGTAAATTACAAAAACACCCCTAAAGCACAGACACATAATTGTGTTTAAAATTTGAGCTCAGATCCTCAATTTTCATCCCCACATTTGCTTCAATTGGCCGAAAATGGTTCGGGTCGCCCGCGTTTTTCGGGTAGTTGAAATCTGATGTGAAGGGAAGGAAGAAGAAGATGGATGTTGGATTGCCGGAGAAGACAAGTGGGGTAGGATTAGAGATGTTCATCGGTTGGGTTGGGTTGATCGGGTCGATGATATTTAAACAATCCAACCTAATGTTTGTGGTTTGAAAAATCTTAACTCAACCCAAACCAAAGTACAACCCAACCCAAACCATACAGGTTGGTTTGGTTCATACTTTAGTACATTAAAACGTTCTTCTAACCTTGAATATGTTATTTCTCTACTTATAATTTCTTTTTCATCATCACCATTTGATACAATTTATCCATACTTCTTACGTATATCACATTCATTTAATTTTTTCAATTTACATATGTATGTTCACAGTTAACATATATACGATTGAGTTATATAGCGATGTGAATATATTGAAAATATGTGTATTAAAAGAGCGTACGTGATAGTGTGATTGTCTAATATATATAGTAATAGAAATTCAACAATCATATTAAATCCAATAAATAAAAGGATATCGGGTTGGGTTGGGTTCAAATAATAGTAACTCAATATCGATCCAATACCTACGGTTTAAAAATTTTACAACTCGATTAGACATCGGATCGCTTCGGGTTGAGTTAATCGGGTTGGTCGGGTTTTGAGTACCCCTAGGTAGGATTGCAAAAATAAGATAAAAATACATATATATAACATATCATTAAGATTATTAAATAAATAATAAGGATAATTGAAAAAAATATAAAAAACCAAATTACCTTTACTTAACATATTTCTCTAATTAGTTTAATGGTAAAGAAATAATGAAATATAAATCATAGGGATGAAGATCGTTATAAACAATAAATTATAGGGATGAAAATCGTAGTTTACTCTAAAAATAATTGGGTTAAATGCATGAAATATCAACATACTTTTATAAATTTTCTTATTATAGCATTTTACTTTTGTTTTTTTCTTTATTACAACAATGTACTTTCAAATTATTTTTTATTAAGGCATCACACTTTAAAAAAATCTACTCATTATAGCAATAGATAACTTGTTACCTTTTAAATCGGTTAACCCCTTGACTTTTTTTACTTATGTGGCTTTAATGGGTAAATGCATAAAATAAATTCCTTTTAAAAATAAGTTCTTTTACACACACAAAATTTAAATTTCCAACGTAATAGTCAATACTAACCAACCATGCACCACCACTTTATATAGATGCATTTACGAGAAAATTATTGACTAAAAAGGAAACTCGATATTGAACACACATAATCAAAAGATGTCGATGAAACAGACGGATTATACATAAAAAATTGTGACTTAGATGAATTGAATAGTTTGTTCTAACAGTGATGGTAAGCAAACAACGAGCGTTTCCTGTAATCCAATCAATCATGAGCAAACAAACCACCCGGAAAAAGGACGATGGGTTTTTTTTTGAAGGTTTCACATTAAGTTGATTCGGTAAATACTAAACAGGTCGTTCGAGCAGAGTGCATTATCATAAAAGGTAAAAATCCTTGAAAATGACGTCGTTTTGGAGATTTTGGGATAAGAGTGAATTACAAATTTAGTCCTTGATTTGGTGAAAATTATAAAATTATAAGAGTGAATTACAAATTTATTTCCTTCACCAATTCACCGAAAACTATCATTCTCCCCCTAATGCTTAAATGCTTGATGACCCCCCTTTATGCAAGTTTCTATTATAATGACGTAAGATTCAGTTGTAACGATGCAAGCTTCAGTTTAGAACAATGAACTTTCAGTTTAGAGTAATGAACCTTCAACAATTCATTATATTTGTATAACCAATACAACCCAATCAATTGAAATATTTATGAAAAATGATGCTAGTTTATTTATTATGATTCGAATATTTATAGACATGATTAAAGATCGTTAACTATGATCAATATTTTATTTTATATTATGAAACAATCAAAATATCTATAAAATCATATATTTATAAAATTAAATGGACGGATAGAGTTTTACAAATGTAAACTTATCAAAATCTTGTAAAGACAACGCAAATTTTTTTACGATAACTAAAGATTTCGGTTATGAAATTAAAATGCAATTATTCGATTCCAAAAGACGTCTTCATCTACCAAAAACTATAAGTACAGGTTAACAGACGAGAAAACACCGCCTTCATCCATCAATCGCCATTTCTATTCGATAAAGTTTCCATCGATTTCAAGAAACAATTTCCTATTCTTCTGGTAATAATAGGGTTTCATTTCGTTGGTAAGTGTTGATGTTCTTCAACTTTTAATTATGCAAGCAATCACATCATCTTCTTATTTATGAATTTATTAGAATCAAAACATGAATTAAAATTGCCCTATTTGGGTGAAGCAGCAAACAAGGAAGAATTTAATCTTTTAGAATTAAACTGCAGAGTGATAAACCTTCTTCATAAACACAAACAAAAAACTATTGAAGGGTCACTTTCTTTTTCGACATTTTTCTGTCGCAACTGTTCTTTGATTCTCACCATTTTTTTCTGTCTTTCTTGCTTTTCTTTGTCAACGGTTAGAATCAAAACCAGCCCGATATAAACAAGATTACCCTGTTTAATGGGTTTACTGTTAAGGCCCGGCTTTTCCTTTTTTTTTAATCAATCTAAGGATACAATTACCAGATAACCACTAAAGTACAAATAGACATAAGAATGAATTGTTATTCGTTTGTTGATAAGTTGTTTATGCATTTCTTTCCAAAGGGATGATTTGTAATCGTTTACCTTTTATCCTTGTACTCGATTTGTTTCCCATATGACCTTCATCATGGAGGTGGCGTAGCTATGATGCAAGTGAGGTAAATTATTATTGTAGAAGATATGGCATCAAATATCACGAAATCAACCGGTAGTCACTATGGGTGTTTACTTAAATACAAGTTTTAACCGTTGGTAATGGGTCTCATCATTTCATAAGAAGCTAATCTGTTCTTGTTTTCTTGATGATTTCAGGGTTCTACATTAGTTTTCAGTTGTTTCACATGCTACACAATTTCCCAAGACCCAATTTGTGATGTAAAATTTGAAGACCTGCTGTTCAGGGGAAGTAATGAAATGTTGGTTCACCTATTAAAAACAAATAATTGGTACTTTTGGAGGTAAGTAATATTAGGATTTAATTTACCCTGCATGAATCATTTTGAAAATCATTCCTCATCCCTCAATCTACAATATCTAGATATGTCACAAGATCGAATTCAAGAATGGTTGTTTGGTACCCCTACAATACTTTTCTGTAATCTACTTGGGTTCCAACAAGTTTAGCTATGATGCAAATACTGTAAATTGTCATTGTTTTCCACATATTAATGAGGACATCAATGATCTTTCTATTCCTTACAGGTGATGGTGCTCAAAGCTGATATCATTGAGCAACCAGAGAATAAAGCTTTCCAAGTTGCTCGAAGTCATGTCTTGATGTGTGATTTCTGATCATTGTCTTTGAAGATGCCGTGCTCATGTTTGAACTCTTAATATTTTAAGATTTATACTTTCCTTTTGTTGATGATTTGTTAAAACTTACATATTTGCGATTTCTCAGCAGATCCATACGTGCTGCTGTTTTCTTGTTACTCATGAATACACAAAATTTTGAGTCAAGGATTAAGGATCAGTTTTACCTAATCGTATACATGTGTTCAAGAAATTCAGAATGTTCAGATAGCAACCGAATTGACAGCAGCAAACCAACCCAATTGTTTCTTGTTAGTTGATGAGTAGTTAATTCTTTCCTTCCCTAGTGCGGTTTTTATTTATCGATCGTTTGTCGTTGATTTCAAATTCAATTTCCATATACCTTAAGCTTTTAATATCACTTCAAGCATTGTTGACTTTGCTGGTGATCACATCTATGTTACAACAGAGGTAAGTTGTCATTTTTTTCATATAATCGACCTAGTTTTGCTTAAAAGTTAGCTGGTAACTTTAAGGTGCGATTCATATTATTGTAGTCCAAGCTCTCTTTAACAACACTAAAGTAGCTGATAGCTATGTTGCATACCTCCCTCCCTGCTACTGAAAGATATAGAAGTTGGTGTTAGTGATGCTATTCTGTATGTAAATCAGATATGTTACAATTGAAATTACTTCGGATTTTCAAATGGCTTATACTCATTTGTAAACTTATAGGCAGGTTCTTGATTCTATAGTTTGGAATTCTTGAAACTAAGCTCAGAAAAATTGGGTGACGTAGTTAAGGCAGGGATCTAGGACTTCTTTTCTTAGAGTTCTCTTCCTTTCATTATCTTAGAATCTAGTTATTTCCCTGCATTGATAAGGTTCTACAACCAAAATGCTGTATTCTTGTTGGTCAATTTATTACAATGATCTGGCTGATCTGATCAATATTGTTTATGTGAAAAAGAAGGCCCCAATTGTTTTCCATCAATGGATATGACTTCAATACCTACGTGTTCCAGATGGTCAAAAAGTCTTTATAGAAACCAAAACAAATTACTGATAAGTCTTTGTTTGTTGATCTCTTGTTTATGTCTTTGGCAGGATTTGTGTTTATCTTCATATTATCCTTGTCATTTTTTTCTCCTTATAACCTTCACCTTTTAACCTACATTGTCAAAAGTTCAGGTGACTGTAGCTATGATGCAAATGATTCGATTCATCATTGTGTTCCACGGCATCACCATGGTTTTGCTTAAAAGTTAGCCTATATAGGATGTCTGTGTTTGTCAGCTCAAACTTATTCAATACTCTAAACATGCAGGATTGCAACCGTTAGTTAGCCTCTGAAGAACACCAACACTAACACTGCCACTTTTCCCATATTGATACACTACCCTGTCCTATGTCCTGCTCCAAAAGGTAAGTAGTTAATGTATTTCATTTTTAAAAATTTGGAGGTCATACGTATCATCTATTTTTAACTTCTTCTCACAAGTTTTGATGGCTGAACAATTCCTTTCAGTTGCTTATTGTTATAAATTTGTAGTGGATGCTAGTAATATTTCCTTTTTTGGTTTCAACATGGCTTGGCTCCGGAAGATGACAATGTGCATGTTCATGCTCATGACTGGTTACGACAGGGTTGTAGTATCTGGTAAGCATCCATCTTATTCTCTCTTCAGTTACTTCTTATTTTGCCACCTTCATCTTCCTCTCAAGAGCTTTCTTTATCACCCAACACTCTGTGCCTTTTTTGATGGATTTTCTGTTCATATCCAAAGGGGGCCCATATGGTTTACCTGTGTCTTTTATGTTATTATGGTTTCCCATTGAATTTCTTGTGAGACGGATTGATATGAAGAAATGTTTGAATAAAGTCATGTTTATATTGTAGTTTAATCATCATCAAGTTTCTTAGAAACTTGCTACCTTTTTTAATCTCCATTTCATAATAAAAAATGGTAAAGTTTTTATACTTGTTCGCCGGTGGGGTCTTGAGTGTGAAGGCAAGTGGAAAAATTAGAAAGTTTGGAACAACTAATCTTGACTTTTTCTTCACTAATTTGTAGTTCACATTATCAATTTGATTATCAAATTCATCGATAGAATTGTAATTTTTCAACAATTTTGAAGACGGTGTGAAGAAATTTAAGGGTTTTTAAGATGCATCCGTTTTAATTTGATGAGTGCTTCCCTAAGTTAACAGAAAATGATTGCATCCTACTGGTAGTGTCATTACATATGGAATTAAATGTTGCAAGTTTGAATCCTTTTCACCTTATTTTAATTTTTTGGTGACAACAACAGAAAATAGAAGTAAAAAACCAGTTAGGCGTTGCAAAAAATCACTTGTATGCCATTTTTAAACAAAATGTAAATTTATAATTAATTTTTGTTTTATTGTATATTATGCAATTTATTTAGTACCTGCTGTAATATTTTTTTCTGGATCTATGTGTTCATGTTATGAAAAAGATGCAAATAGATCTCAAATGCATCTCTTAACCAGAATAGCGTAATAGATTTTCAAAGATTTGTGTGGACATCAATGAGCTTAATTATAATAAACTTATCAAATACGGCAATATTTGACCATATAAAATTTGAATCAAGAATAGACTTCGACTTGGCAAGTAAACGTCTGATGTTGATATGTGCATAGAATGCATTCTTCTGCTAGTGTAGGGTCTCCATTTAACAGGCTATACATTTCCTTCATATTTGAGATTTGAGTACACCGGTCAAAGTAAAAGTGATTACTACCCTTTTCATCATCAATCAATATGAGTGTTGGTTTTTCATTTTCTCATTTATCTTGCAGCTACTTTGGCTTACTTCTTATTCTGCTCTTGTTTCGTTTATGCTTATCTAATAATAATTTCCATGATCATGTATTATGCATGGTTGATGAGAGACAGGCACTTCTTGACTTCAAGCTTGGCCTCATTGATGAAGGAAATCGACTTGCTTCTTGGGTTGCTGAGGAGAAGGATTGTTGCACTTGGACTGGGATTGTTTGCGATAACGTTACTGGTCATGTTCATAGTATTCATCTTCCTACTAATTATTATGTTAATTCATATACTACCACAACCAAAGAATACAATGAAGCCTCAAAGCATAGGTTAAGTGGAGATCTAAGTCCTTCCCTGTTACATCTGAAGCAGATCAAGCATCTAGACTTGAGCGGCAATGATTTTGGAGGAATCCAAGTTCCTAGGTTTATAGGTTCTCTTGGAAACTTGGAATATCTTAATCTCTCAGGTTCTGGATTTGGTGGAGTTATCCCTGATCAATTAGGGAATCTGACGAAATTGCACATCCTCTGTCTTGGAAGTTTGCATGCATCTGAATTAACTAGCATGAGGAATATGCAATGGTTGTCAAATCTACCTTTTTTGCAACACCTGGATATGAGTGGCGTAAACCTCAACAAAGCAGTCGATTGGTTCCAGGTGATTAACACCCTCCCCTCTTTGGTCCAACTACATTTGTCTAATTGTCAACTCCCACACATATATCCCCATGTTCCTAGTCTTAATCTCACATCCCTTTCCTTGCTTGATCTTTCTAACAACGATTTTACCAACACTAGTATGCCACGATGGATATTCAGTATAACTGGGCTTGTTTCACTAGATTTAGGTTGGTGCTATTTTCATGGTCTAATTCCTAATAGTATTGATAGCTTCCGTAACTTGACTTCTCTCAAAATGCTTTGCATTCGTGGGAATGATTTCAGGAATTCTTCGTTGGTATTAGAAGGGTTGTCTAGTGTAGGTAGTAATCTCATTACATTAGACATGCATTCATGTCGTGTTCCAAGTTCAGTCCTTGATTCCCTTCACAACTTGACCTCTCTTCTTAGCCTTGACCTATCAGAAAATCAACTCACAGAGACAATACCTAAATCATTGAGTAACATTTGCAATTTGAGACATATTGATATGGGAGGTAACTATTTTCCAAATATTAGTTTGACAAGCCTTCTTGAAAATATTTTCGAGTGCAAATCACCAAGCTTGGAGTCTTTATTCCTCGAGAACTCGCAACTTTCTTGTCATCTACCAGATCAACTTGGACAACTGATGTATCTTGTGGACCTCCAACTTCGAAACAACCGTATTGCTGGTATAATTCCGGATTCAATAGGGCGACTATCATTTCTGAGGTCATTAGGTCTTGATGGTAATCTTATTTCTGGTCCAATTCCATACTCAGTTAGACGATTATCATCTTTGGAGTATTTAAATCTATCGGATAACCAATTGAATGGTAGCCTTCCGGATAGCCTTGGTCAACTTTCCAAGTTGAATACATTAGATCTTTCATATAACCAACTGAGTGGCAGTCTTCCTGATAGCCTTGGTCAACTTTCGAAGTTGAATTCTTTAGGTCTTTCGAATAACCAACTGAATGGCAGCCTTCTTGATAGCCTTGGTCAACTTTCGAAGTTGAATTTTTTAGATTTTTCTAGCAATTTGTTGACCGGTGTCGTTACAGAAGTTCACTTTGCAAAACTAGCCAGATTGGAAACCCTAGTAGGAAGTGGCAACAATATAACCGTAAGGTCACACATTGCAAACTGGATACCCTCTTTCCGGCTGCTGACTTTGTCTTTAAGTTCTTGGAATTTAGGGCCTCAATTTCCAGTATGGTTAACACTGCAGAGAGATCTAATATCTTTGGACCTAAGCAACACAAAAATTTCATCAACCATACCTGAGTCGTTTTGGAAATCATTACCCAATCTGCGATATCTAGATATGTCACAAAATCATATTCAAGGAATGTTGCTTGGTATCCCTCGGCCACTTCTTCTACTTGACTTGAGTTTTAACGAATTTGGCGGGCAACTACCCACGCTCTTGGATGGTTCGGAGATATCCTTCATGGATCTATCAAATAATTCTTTTGCAGGGTCATTACGTCATATATTGTGTCCCAACAGTCAGAAAAGTGTACGAGTTCTTAATCTGGCAGATAATAATCTATCAGGTGTAATCCCTGAGTGTTGGATGAGGTGGCCGGGACTATCGTTCTTAAGCTTGGAGAATAACAATCTGATTGGTAGGATTCCAAGAACTTTGGGATCTTTGTCGCGCCTACAATCATTGAACCTGTGCAACAACAAGCTCTCCGGAATATTACCTGTTTCTTTAAAGAACTTGATAAGCTTACAGATCCTTCAACTTGCTAGGAATGAACTTGTTGGGAGAATTCCGTCTTGGTTTGGGAAACAATTCTCAAGTTTGAGAATTCTCAACCTCCGAGCAAACCATTTTGACGGACATATAAATGATGGGCTATGTTATCTTAACAGTGTTCAGATCTTGGACGTTGCTGATAATAATCTATCAGGAAATATACCCCGATGCTTCAACTACTTCAGTGTCCTCTCCGGGAAACAAACTCCCTTAACTACAGAATTTGCCTATGCACGAGCTTATGGGACAACTCATGGCAGTGCTTCATTGGTGATAAAGGGACGAGAGGATACATATAGCAGTATTCTTGGACTCGTGATGCTATTGGACCTCTCGGGTAACAATTTTTCTGGGAGCATCCCAAGTGAGCTAATGTCTCTTCAAGCATTACAATCGTTGAATCTATCAAAAAATCAGTTGACAGGAAGGATCCCAAAGACTATTGGGGACTTGAAATCGCTTGTAGCATTTGATGCATCTCTTAATCGGCTTTCTGGGGAACTTCCTGTGAGCTTGTCAAGTTTGAGCTTCTTGAGTAGCTTCAATGTCTCTTACAACAATTTGACGGGAAGAATCCCTTCAAGCACACAATTTCAGACCTTCAATGAATCAAGCTTCTTGGGCAACAAACTTTGTGGAGATCAAGTCACCGAAAGTTGTGCAGTTGAAGTGCCTGATCATAGAGACGAAGAAGAAGAAGGAGATGATGATGGATCACATGGAGCGGATTGGGGATTGATCATTAGCATAGTGTCGGGATTTATTGCTGGTTTCTGGGTTGTGTTTGCTCCGTTGATAGTCAGCACCACGTGGAGGGTCACATACTTCCGTTTCTTGAGAGATTGGAGGTTTATGTTTTCTGATGCAATCCGTAGGTACTTAATTATGTGACATTTTTCACGAGTCATGTAGAATGCAAAAATGTTGTGATATGTTGAGTTTTAGTTTGAAGAAATAGCAGCTATTTTTATAAAATAATGAAATTTACAAGTTTGGACCTTCCTGATCATAGCTTATATATTCCTATGTTTGGTATTCTTGAATTCGTAAGAAAACTTGATAAAAGATTGGCAACATGTAACTTGATTTTGATTGGTTTGGTTTTAGTCGGAACATGAACAAGACCGTCCCTACTTTTAAGTAGATGTCAGATTTGTATACATCATGAAATTAACCAACATTATGTTGGTTGATGACTGCTAGAGGAAACTCTCGTGAAAATATCAAGGTATGTGTCTCCTTCTAATTAATATCATAACAGTTCTCTGAATTCTTTAGAATTCAAATCAGATGGTTTCCTGTTGTGCTTGAAAGGAAAGAAAATACGTCTGCTCCTTTTCTTCAAAAGTTGGGCCATAATGGGGATTTATTAGCTAAATATGGTTCCGTATTTGGTTAAAAAGTACCTTAACCGGACCTTGGGTTTCTTGTCAAGACCGGACCACACCCTCCTTCAGAACCAAGAAAAACACTACATTTGTAGCTCTTAATGGTGAAGCCCAAATGGCTGTAAACACACTCGAAGAACAAAATCACAGCAACAATGCTGTCACAATTGGTGATGGAGCAGAAACTTCTAGTGTCAAATTTGCTGATGAGCGATGGAATATGGGGCTTGGGATCTGAGTATGTTTGTGAAATCTGGAAAAATGGATTGGATGCTCTGATTGTTGCTGGTGAATAATTATCATCCATATTGTTTATGCCAACACACACACACACATGTAGGGGTAGGTTCAAACAAGAAGCTAAACATTTTGCAAGAAGGCAAGAAGTCCCAATATCATATATGATTACACACATGGTACACAAGCTTAATCATATATGATTAAGAGTCTATATGATTAAGAGTCTATGTGTTGTCAATGCAACATGTGTTTAATCATATATGATTAAACACACCCAAAGAAGTGTAATTATATATGATATTGAGACTTCTCGCCTTCTCGCAAAATGTTTAACTTCTCGCATATCCTCTCTCTCTCTCTCTCTCTATATATATATATATATATATATATATATGTATATTTGAATTTAGTTTCGCAATGAATCAAATGTGGACCTTTTATTTATTTAAACCAGGGTAGTAAATTATACATTATGCTTGAATATGTTGGTTTTGCAGAAGCAAGGAGGAGAAAGTTTCTTGAATTGTATCCAAAAGAAGCAACAAATCAAGATTCTGTGCTGTCTAGAAGCTCCATTATACCCCGGTGGGCTTGGGTTACACGTTCTCACCTTCCTGAGGCTGAGTTGCTCAATGGTTAGTTCTCATTACATCCTCTAATTCATACTTGTACCTTGTGCATACGTAGTTGTACAACTAGTTATTCATAAGTGAATTGCTTGTGTCTCAGTTTCTAGTTTTAGATCAGTCAATTTTGATCTAATTATTTTATGATGGTGTTGGTCGAGCGGCAATGATTGGGTTCTTTATGGCTTATCTTGTGGATGTTTTGACTAGGCTTGATGTTGTAGGGCAAAGTGGTAATTTCATATGYAAGATTGGMTTGTTTGCWACAGTYATGGGTGTWGTCYTTTTTMGGCAAACCAATTCTCTACAGGATCTCAAGAATCTAGCAGATGAGGCCACATTTTATGATAAACAGTGGCAAGCTTCATGGCAAGATCAAGATTCAAGTGGTGGCACATCGGGAAAAAAGTGAAACCTCTGTATTATCGATTAACAGAACTGCTTGTCTGCATTTCCAATCATAAACTTAAGTTACATGTACGGAACTAGTTAGTCTTGGACCAACATATGAATGTACCCTGATTTTTTTTGTACTTCTATTCTTGCTTGATCAAGAAACCACAAATTTTCAGATGATCATGTTGCTATATCTATAAAACCAGTTGTTGATGATTAAGATAAAGATTTCATGAGGCATGGTGGAGAAGATGTTTGCAAGGTTGTGGACATTATTGGATGTTCCAGGACCATGTTGAATACTTGAGGCAAAAAAAGGAACAGCATCTTACATGTAAGAGTCGCCATCCTCACTTGCCTTACTAGGTAAGAGACTCTTACCCTGTAAATGCTAATCAGCTAAGAATCACCCCCTCACTTACTGGGTAAGATTGTCGGTTGCCTCTTACCGGATAAGATTCGCGGTCCTTACCTTGCCCGGGTAAGCGTTTGGTAACCAGCCCACAAGTGTGAGTTTTGGCTTTTTCCGGGGGTTCCGTCCCTCTTTTTAAGAAGAAAAACAGTGAGTTTCGGCTTGAGTGGTGAAATGCACCTTTATAGACCTCCCTTATACCCTCATTCCTGATCTACTAAATTATTTTACTTTTTGCTGTTCAATACTCTATTGCTCTCTCTCTCTATATTCTTTTTTTGTTTATTTTTATTCTAACCAAATTTTTTGATTGTTTTTTTATTACTGATTTGGAGTGGTTCCATTCTTGTTAAATTTATGCATTCAGCCATCCTTGCAGGTAGACAGAGGGAGTATAGTTGGTGTATATCTATTTCAATCATAATGACTGGTAATAAGAACTGTATATACAAAGAGATGCACGTCAACTAAACATATGGGTATTTAAGAAATCTGTGCATCTCTACTACTATGAAATTTTGCTAATTTCAGTTTGCTTTAACAATGTGTTATTTCAACGGTCTTCTGAGTACACTTCTGAATGTTTCATAAACTATTTGCCAAATCATAGGTTGTCCATGAGCATGCTCGGCTTCGTGTTCTGTATTCATCTCATCATTGTTGGATGATTTTTCATTTCTTTTGTTATCTGCTATTTAAACTTTTGAACAGCATCTAATCAACCAGATAGTTGCATTTCTTCCAAACTGTTCTTCCCATAGCAGTGGCTTCAACACTATCAGTGGTGAGTTTCTGTTAGTCATTGGTTTTCTAGTGAATGCATCTATATGAAGAGATGGTTTCTTAACCATATGCTTTCACATATCTCATGAGCCAGGACAAGGAATTCTGCTTTTGAACTACTACAGGCTACAACTTATTGCTTCTTTCTTTGCCATGTGACAAGACCCCCAAACATACATGGATCTTCCATTCATAGTACTGCCAGTGCCAACCCAATATTTAGAGGTAAAAACTTATCCTTTTCATGTTGTGATTTTCAAGTATCTAAATAAACTTAGCCCACATTTTAATTGTAGCAACTTGCATGATTTCTACAAGTGAAAAGGCCTTACCCTTGACATAATATGGTTGTTGGATATCGAGTCGATTTTTTGTCAACTATGTATCTTGTTAGACTGAACCCAGTTGGACCTGTATGGACCTAAATCCGACGGTCGGAACTGGTCTTAATTGGGACCATGCTTTAAGAGAACGAGGCTTAACTTTAACACAACTGCATAGGAATTGGACCCAGCCCGGATGAGCCCTTTGTCTTTGTGCATGTGGACCATGCATTGACAACTTGACAAAGAGACAAATATATGGTTTATATGTGAAACTCCAAAACATCGGCTTTGGAAACCAGTCCAAGGTTTATTTTATCAACTTTCTAGAGGTAGATAAAATATAGATGTTGGGAATCTTGGTCGTTTCTTTTTACTTTAATAGATTCTCTAAAACTTTCTTTAAAATAAAAAAAAAGTAGGAGACAACGTGAAATTTTATAAATTCAGAGAATCCTTCAAACATGATTACCATGGTAGAGAAATATTTTTTTTATTATATTCCTACCATTAAGAACTTTAAAATTAAATGTTTAGGGGAGATAGATATTATTTTATTAAACGTATGAAATATTTTAATAATATAATCAATATTGTAATATCCAGAATAGAAGATCTCTTGGAGTTAAAACCACCGTAATTTTTTTTAAAAGATTTTGAAGAATTTGTAGGAAATGCTATAATTCACTTTTATATTCACTTTATAAAAGAATATGCACTGTCGCATTATTGGCTTTTTACACATCATTGAAAACTAGTTGTGTATCCGTGCAATACGGCGGGAGCCGTGAATTTTAACGATTTTGAAGTTTCACTAGTTTTATTAGAAAAGATTTAACGATGATATAAGTTACACTTGGTCTTTACATATTAATACAATTTGAATAAATAAGAGTTATGGTTCCAATATATTTAAAATCCAACATATTTAAACGACTCCATACATGTGTTCGATTTACACCAAGAGCAAAGAATCAAGAGATCGAGAGCGAGACCGAGAGTTCTAGAGCAATTGAATGAAAGATGAATGAGAGAACTTTTAATAACTCATGGTGAATATCAGTAGATGGGGAGAAGACATAGAGGTATGAGAGGGTGAATGCATGAATGAAAGGTGTCAAAAGTATATTGAAAACATAAAAAAGATAATATAATAATATGCATTGGTAACTTGTACTATATGTTATTTTAATTGTAGATAAAGAGATTTTAAGACTAATTATAAAAAATAGTAGTACTTAATGCATTATGAATTGTTTTTAAGACTTTATACATAAATATATAAAACTTTATGCATTATAAATTGTTTTTAAAACTTTTAATAAATTTGATTTATAAAGTAGAATACAGATAAACAAATCATCAATTGTAAAAGTTTCTATTCGTATACAGTAGGGTTCTTTTTGTCTCTCACGAAAAACGATGATTTGCTTTCATACAGCAAACCAGATATGGTGTGCTAAACCCATAACCTGCAATCACGTGAAGGGAAGGCAACTTGGTTATTCTGTGTACTGTAAAAGTGTAAATTTAGCCGACAATTTTTCAAAAATCAAAGCTGGTGTTCCAGCATCCAATCTTCAGAACAAAAAGTCCATCTTCTTTCAGAATACAGATTCTTGATTATCAAAAGATGAATTCCCTCATTTTGTCTTTCTCATACCTTTGGGTACTTACAATCTTTATACTGTTTCATCGTTCTTTGTCTGATGAAGACTCTAGTAACGTTTCATGCATTGGATACGAGAAAACTGCTCTACTGGAGTTCAAGAACGACCTAAATGATGGTGGGAACCGGCTCTTTTCCTGGAACAGCAGCAATGAAGATTGCTGTAAATGGTATGGAATCACCTGCAACAATGAAACTGGTCATGTCATCCAGATCCGCCTACGTGGGCCTGATCATACGGATAGCTTTAAAGACCAAGAAGCATCGATACAGAGGTTTGGAGGGAAACTCAACCCTTCTTTACGTAATTTGACTTCACTCGACTACTTAGACTTGAGCTGCAATGATTTTGAAGGGATCTCGATTCCTACCTTCATTGGGTCTCTCCAAAACTTGACTTATCTGAATCTTTCTGAGTCAAGATTTTCCGGGGAGATCCCGAGTCAACTCGGGAATCTCTCCGAGTTACGCATGCTCAGTGTCGGGAATGTTTATAATGGTGATCAGTATGAGCAAACAGTGAAGAGTTTGCAGTGGTTATCGGGTCTTTCTTCTTTGCTCCACCTTGACATGAGTGGGGTTCAACTTGGCAAAGTGTTTGATTGGCGAAAGGTGATTCAAACCCTTCTCCCTTCTTCTCTTGTAGAACTGCATTACTCGTCTTGTGGACTTCCTCCTATCACACCTACTTTATCCATAGTTAATCTTAGTTCGCTTTCAGTCCTTGATCTTTCCTATAACAATTTCAGTACCAACTCGATACCTAATTGGATATCTAGTTTACAGAGTTTAGTTTCCTTAAACCTTGCTAACTGCGATTTCAATGGTCCAATTCCTGGTGCTCTTATGAACATGGCTTCCCTTATTACCCTTGATTTGTCAAATAATCAACTCACGAGTGTTCAAACTATTCTTAGTTCGGTTCCAGGAAACATCTGTAACTTGAGGGAAATCAATCTTTCTTGGAACAAATTTCACGGTAAAAGTCTATCGGAGGTCCTTACAAGTTTGTTTAATTGCGAGTCATCTAAACTCGAGTCTTTAAAGTTCGCATCAAGTGGGCTTTCTGGTTATTTACCACCACAACTCGGAAATATGACAAACTTGGTTCTTATTGATCTTAACAACAATTCAATTTCTGGGTCGATCYCCGATTCCCTAGGAAATTTATTATCCTTACAAACTCTAGAAATCGAGTCTAATTCATTATCAGGCCCGCTACCTGACTCGATAGGAAGATTGTCATCSTTGCTAWCWATGTATCTTCCTRACAATTTKATATCCGGCCCACTCCCAGATTCTTTAGGAAGATTATTGTCTTTGGAGCTGTTRGATATTTCGRRTAATGAAATCAATGGAACTCTTCCCCAAAGTSTTGGCCAACTWACGAAGCTGATKAMCCTAARCRTTSGGAACAATTTGTTAACAGGTGTTGTSACTGAAGATCATTTTKCTAAKCTCACCARTTTAGCCACTTTACGAGCAGATGCAAACATGTTAAGACTCGAGATATYRGCTRATAACTGGGAACCACCWTTCCAACTCCRARGRTTGAGCTTRAATTCTTGGAGTTTAGGTCCAAAGTTCCCTTCATGGCTTCAAAACCAAAAAAATCTGTTCATCTTGTATCTAGCCAGCACAGGGATTTCAGATAACATTCCAAGTTGGTTTTGGACTACGTTTCTGGATTTGCAGTATCTGAATCTCTCYGATAATGATTTCTCRTCAGTGTCTCTGAGCGAATACTTTTGTTCTAAARCAGATGCAGAACAKMAACAGGTTAAATATGTGAATCTGGGTAATACTAGTCTKTCAGGTGTTCTTCCTGATTGCTGGGCAACCTGGGGATTCTTGAATATCTTGAACTTGCAGAACAATAATCTCACTGGTGAAATTCCAAGATCTTTGGCAAATTTRTCCAAGTTAGAATCATTAAACATGCGCAATAACAAGCTSTMTGGAGAATTACCTATGAATCTAATGAATTCACAGAGGTTACTGATTATTGACCTTTCTGAAAACGAATTCATTGGAGGCATACCAATACCGATAGGTGGAGAAGCTACCAGATTGAGGGTTCTCAGCCTTCATTCAAACAAATTGAAAGGCAAGATCCCAAGGGAAATCTGCAGACTTGATTCTATCCAGATTCTGATCCTTGCTAATAACAATCTTTCAGGGGAAGTACCAAACTGCTTCCACAATTTTAGTCTCATGACAGGAAAAGCGAATCCAAATCAAATCATCTCGCTAGCCGGAGATGAATTTATGGGCAGTGCTTGGTTGGTGATGAAGGGGAGGGTGAATGGGTATAGCAGCATTCTTGGTCTACTGACATTTTTGGACCTTGCAGGGAACAATCTATCTGGGGTTATTCCAAGTGAGATTACGAGGCTGGTGGAGTTGAGATATTTGAATATTTCCGGTAATCGGTTAACAGGGAGGATCCCTGAGAAGATTGGTGACATGAAGTTGTTAGAATCTCTTGATTTGTCAATGAATCAACTTGACGGGATGGTTCCTTCGAGCATGTCAAGATTGAGTTATTTGAATTTGTTGAATTTGTCGTACAACAATTTGACAGGAAGGATTCCATCGAGCACTCAGCTTCATAGCCTTTCAGAGTCGAGCTTTGTTGGCAACAAGCTGTGTGGAGCTCCGGTTAGCGTAAAGTGCGAAAGGCGAGGTGGAAGGGCTGGTGACACCGGTGAAGTAGGTGGAAGTGGTGGAACAGATTGGGGACTTATTATAAGCATAGTGGTTGGATTCGTGGTGGGGTTTTGGGTTGTAGTGGCTCCATTGATAGGTAGCAAGGCATGGAGGGTATCATTTTTTGAATCTGTGTATGGTATTTGGTACAAGTTTTGTGACTGCATCTCCAACTACACCGCTTCCAACAACAGGTTTCATAGATAACAAAAAATGTTGGTTCTTCAAAATTTCTGCAAATACATTTTTGAGGACGTTTTCCTCTGTCGTCATTTCCTAGTATTAGAATTGTCGTTTCCTGAATTTATCTGAATTATATTAGTATTATTATCCAATTTTCAATAAACCAAAAGGACGAAAAAGGTAATTTGTTGTATTATGAAGTAGATATAAAAGTTGAAGTTCCTAATAGGTTCGTTTGGACATCATCTAGTAAGCTTTTAAAAATCATTTTTTATGCATAAAATAATGTTTATTAATGCATGTTACTTAAAACTCAAGATTACAAGTAGATTGTTCGTAAGTACAACTTATTAATGCTTTATATCTGAATTCGTGTAAATAACTGCATAATCAAATACATATTAAACATCTCATTTTAAATATAAAAAATCTAGAATATAATTAGAATAATAATTGAATTCTAACAGAATACTTAATTATTATCTTTATAGAAATTAAACCAAAAATAAATTATTTCRTTATTAAACTTTAATTAAATTAAAATAAAAAAATAAATTACATAGAAAATAAGAATTTTTAAATAGTTGATTTGATATTAACATTGATATATATATTTTTTAAATTTTTATGATATTTTCAAATTTATATTTTATTCTAAAATAAAATCATTACTGTATTTTTAAAAACACATAAAATTGTATTATAACATAACAGAAACAAAATATAAAATATAACATTAAAATCAAAATATATCTCGTTGTAATGTCTGAATAGTCTTTTAATAAAATAAAATCGTGATTAGAAAATAGTTAAATAGAATTTTGTATGGAAGTCATTAGGGGTGCTCAAAAACCCGATGAACTCGACCAACCCAACCCGAATTTAAAAAAAGAAAACCAACCCGAGGTAACCCGATGCATGATCGATAAGAAGAAGTTTCACGTGGATGTTTGTCTCACACTATATAAACATAAACATATGTGAAACAATAGTTTAAATTATAGTCATATTTTTATGTCGATGTAAAAATGTGGTTCTGATTTGATAATCATCTCCTCTGTCTCTATACACATATATAATATTTAATAAATTGTCATATTACCGGTTTCCTTCATTTTGGACAAGCCATCAATATAGACTTTGACTTGGGCACTAAATGTCTGATGTTGATTGATTTTACATGATTCATTATATATTCTACAAATTGATGTTCATCTTAAAACAAGGTCTCTTAATTAAGAACCGTCTTTATATAAAACCCTAACACTAGTACTAGTGATTGTTATACTCCAAATCCTCAAATTCAGTCAACCAATATGAGTTTTCATTTCTCTTCCTCCTATTTTCACTTGCTTCTTCTTGTACTCTTGTTTCGTTTCTGCTTATCTAATATTAATAATGATAACATCCATGATCATGTATTATGCATGGATGATGAGAGACAAGCACTTCTTGACTTCAAGCACGCCCTCATAGATGAAGCCAATCGACATGCTTCTTGGGTTCCTGATATGAAGGATTGTTGCACTTGGACTGGGATTGTTTGTGATAATATTACCGGTCATGTTCATAGCATTCATCTTCCTGCTAATGAATACTCAAAACAATGGTTAAGTGGACATCTGAGTCCATCCTTGTTGAATCTGAAGCAAATCAGGCATCTAGACTTGAGCGGCAATTATTTTGGAGGAATCCAAGTTCCAAGCTTTATGGGTTCTCTTGGAAACTTGAGATATCTTAACCTCTCACGTTCTGGATTTGGTGGACCTATCCCTCCTCAATTGGGGAATCTAACGGAATTGCGCATCCTCTGTCTTCCAAGTTTTTATGCTTATGATACCAATGAAAATGAATATACTAGCATGATGTGGTTGTCAAGTCTCCGTTTGTTGCATCACCTGGATATGAGTCACGTAGATCTTAGCAAAGCAATTGATTGGTTTCAGGTGATTAACACCCTTCCTTCTTTGGTCGAACTACATTTGTATGATTGCCAACTCTCGCATATATATCCCCATGTTCCTAGTCTTAATCTCACGTTCCTTTCTGTGCTTGATCTTTCTTATAACTATTTTACTAACAATTTTGTGCCACGATGGATATTCAGTCTAACAGCTCTTGTTTCACTGGATTTAGCCGGGTGTGATTTTCATGGTCTGATTCCTGGTAGTTTCGATGGCTTCCATAACATGACTTCTCTTGAGTTGCTTCGTGTCCCTAGGAACAATTTCATGAGTTCCTCATTAGTATTAGAAGTGTTGTCTAGCATAGGTGGTAATCTCATTTTGTTAGATATTAGTTCTTGTGGTGTTTCGAGTTCAGTTCTTGATTTTCTTCACAATTTGACATCACTCCATAGTCTTGACATGTCAGGAAATCAACTTACCGAGGCAATACCCAAATCATTGGGTAACCTTTGCAGTTTGAAACATATTGATTTGGGAGGTAACTATTTTCCAAATATTAGTTTAACAAGCCTTCTTGAAAGTCTTTTCCAGTGCAAGTCCCCAAGCTTGGAATCATTATCCCTAGAGTCCACGGGACTTTCTTGTCACCTACCTGATCAACTTGGACAACTGATATATTTGGTGCACTTCCAACTTGGAAACAACAGTATTGTTGGTGGTATTCCTGATTCAATAGGAAGACTATCTTTTTTGAGGTCATTAGATCTTCATAAGAATCTTATTCTAGGTCCAATTCCATACTCAATTGGACAATTATCATCACTGGAGTTTTTAGATCTAGCATATAACCAACTGAATGGTAGCCTTCCTGATAGCCTTGGTCAACTTTCCAAGTTGAATATTCTACATCTTTCTTCCAATTTGTTTACAGGTATCGTGACAGAAGCCCATTTTGCCAAACTAACCAGATTGGAAATCCTAAATGGAGAAGGCAACAATTTAATCCTAAGATCATGCATTTCAAACTGGATTCCCTCTTTCCATCTATGGGGTTTGTCTTTAAGTTCTTGGGATTTAGGACCTCAATTTCCATTATGGTTGCAACTGCACACAAATCTAATAGTTTTGGAGATGAGCAACACAAGAATTTCAACAACCATTCCTGAGTCGTTTTGGAAATCATTACCTGATCTACAATATCTAGATTTGTCACAAAATCATATTCAAGGAATGTTGTTTGGTATCCATGCACCACTTGTCTTTCTCAACTTGAGTTCTAACAAGTTTGGCGGAGAATTACCTAAGCTCTTGAATAGTTCGTGGATAGCCGTCTTAGATCTATCATATAACTCTTTTTCAGGGTCATTATATCACATGTTGTGTACCAATAGTGAGAAAAGGCAACAACTAGGAGTTCTTAATATGGGAAATAATAATCTATCAGGTGTAATTCCCAAGTGTTGGGCGAGATGGTTGGATTTGTCGTTCATAAATTTGGAGAATAACAAGCTGTTTGGTAGGATTCCACAAACTCTGGGTACTTTATCTTCCCTAAAATCATTGAACCTGTGTAACAACAACTTATCTGGAAGATTACCTCTTTCTTTAAAGAAGTTGAGGAACATGGAGATCTTTCAACTTGCTGGAAATGAACTTGACGGGAGAGTTCCAACATGGCTTGGGAGAGAATTCTCAAACTTGAGAATTCTCAACCTACGATCAAACAATTTTGACGGGCATATAATTGATGAGCTATGTTATCTCACCATTATTCAGATCTTGGACCTTGCAGATAATAATCTATCAGGAAATATACCTAAATGCTTCGACAACTTCAGTGTCCTCTCTGGGAATGGAACTTCCTCAACTAAGAAACTTATCTATGGAACACCTATAGGGGGAAGTGTGGCCAATGCTTCCTTGGTGATAAAGGGACGAGAGGACACATATAGCAACTTTCTTGGATTGGTGATGATATTGGACCTTTCAAGTAACAAATTTTCTGGGAGCATCCCACGTGAGCTAATGTCTCTTCGAGCTTTACAGTCGTTAAATCTATCAAGAAATCAGTTGACAGGAAGGATCCCTGAGAATATCGGGGACTTGAAGTTACTTGCATCATTTGATGTATCTCTTAATCAACTTTCTGTGGAACTTCCTGTGAGCTTGTCAAGTTTGAGCTTCTTGAGTAGCTTCAATGTCTCCTACAACAATTTGACAGGAAGAATCCCATCAAGCACACAACTTCAAAGCTTCAATGAGTCCGACTTCTTGAGCAACGAACTTTGTGGAGATCCAATCACCAAAAGTTGTGTAGTTGAAGTACCTGTACCTGCTGCTGGTAGAGACCAAGACGAAGAAGAAAACGATGGAGCACATGGAGTGGATTGGGGATTGATCATTAGTATAGTGATTGGATTCATTGCTGGTTTTTGGATTGTGTTGGCTCCATTGATAGTGAGCAGCGCATGGAGGATCACATATTTTCGATTCTTGAGTGATGTGAGGTTTATGTTTTATGATGCAATTAGTACCTACTTTCGTTACATGTTTCATAAGTATTGATGAAGAAATATTAAAACTACTATGATAATAAATTTACAAGTTTGGACCTTCATGGCGACAAACTTTCTTAAATTATTTATACAAAATGTTTTTAAAATACTAGAAGAGTACTCGTACAATGCATCGAAACACATTTTCATTTCAATGTTTCGTTTTATTTTTTATCCATGTCGATATAATACGATTTTATATATGTGGTTTTGAAAAAGAGATAATGTTTCTATTTTTGAATAAAATATAATTTGAAAATATCATATAAAATTTATAAAAAGTATATCAATATTGGTATCAAATTAACTATTTAAAAGTTCTTGTTTGTGTATTTTTTTAATTCAATTTTTTTATTACAATTTAATTTAATGTAACGAAGTAACTTAATTTAGGGTTRATAATATATCTATACTATATTATAAAACATTTGTCAAAAATTCTTAAAAACTATTTTTTATGCATGAATTATTGTATATTAATACATATTACTTAAAATTCAAGATTACAAATAAATTATGCATAAGTACAACTTATTAAAACTCCATGTTTGAATTCGTGTAACTAACTGCGGATAAACATAATCAAATAGAGGATAAACATTTCATTTTAAAATATAAAAAATCTAAAATATAATTAGGATAATTATCGAATTCTAACAAAATAATTAATTATTATTTTTATAAGAAAAATTATATTATTAAACTAAATATAAATTACTTCATTATTGAACTTAAATTAAATTATAATAAAAAAAATTGAATAAAAAAATTATACAAAAATATGAATTTTAAATAGTTAATTTGATACTAATATCGATATATTTTTGTATTTTTTTATAATATTTTCAAATTGATATTTTATTCAAAAATAAAAACATCATTGCTTTTTCAAAATCACATAAGACCATACTATAATATCGACTGAGATAAAGAATAAAATGAAATATTAAAATCGAGATGTATCTCGCTGCATTGCACAAGTACCCTTTTAGTTTTTTATAAAGATAATAATTAAACATTCTATTAGAACTCAATAATTATCTTAATTATATTTTAGATTTTATATATTTAAAATGGATGTTTATCCAGTATTTGATTATGTTTATCAGAAGTTAGTTACACGAATTTAAAAATGAAGTTTTAATAAGTTATACTTACGTAAAATTACTTGTAATCTTGAATTTTAAGTAATATGCATCAATAAACAATACTTTATGCATAAAAAATGGTTTTTAAGAGTTTTTTCCAAATGCTTTATAATATATTATAGATAATTTAATTTAAGTTTAATTATGAAATAACTTATTTTTGGTTTAATAAATATAACATTTTATAAAGATAATAATTAAGTATTCTGTTATAACTCAATGATCATCCTAATTATATTTTATATTTTTTTTATATTTAAAATGAGATGTTTATCCTGTATTTGATTATGTTTATCTGCAGTTAGTTACACGAATTCAGATATGAAGCTTTAATAAGTTGTACTTACACAATCTACTTGTAATTTTGACTTTTAAGTAACATGCATTAATAAACAGTACTTTATGCATAAAAAGTGGTTTTTAAGAATTCCTGTCAAATGCTTTATAATATAATATAGATATTAAAAATATTTATTTTGTAATAATTAATTAATAAATAATAAATTTAATTATTTTTATTTGTACAAAAGTTAATCAATTAATAATTATTTTTATAATTATCCTATGAATTATTTATACAAAATGAAATTCAATTTCATTACAAATCCTATAAATCAAATAAATTTAAAATTTAATTCCTTCTAAATTCAAATATTTATAAAAATATTAACCAAAAGAATGATTACATTTACGTGTCAAATTAGATTTAAAAAAAATATTATTGTATAAATACAACTTAAAATATGAAATCAATTTTATATGTAAATATCAGTAAGTGGTTGTTTATTTACATTTTAATAGTTCCATTAAAAGATAATCTTTAAATCGTTAAGATGTGAATCTTGTTTGGTAATAAAAAAAATATATGTTTGTTAATGGTTCTAAAATCCTCTGAATGATTTTGTATCACGGACCTCCCTTAACCATTAAGAGCTCTAATTTCATTGTAAACAATTACCAAACAATTATATTTCATTTTGCACTATATCATAAGAGTCTATTAATTATTCTGACCACTTAATGATTATGGACAAAACCATTCAACAACTTCCAAATAACCCCTAAATAAAATAATGTCTGATTTATAATCATAATCAATTTTTTTATGTAAATATCAGTAAATAAAATAACGTCAGATTTATAATCAGGCTCGTTCATGACATTTTATAGGCCCCGGGCAAACGTAAAACCAGGGTCCACTGCAAGAAACAAGACTTTTAGCAACGATTTTTGTCGTCGTTAAAAGTTCATTTATCATCAGAAAGAGTATATAACAACATGTCGTCGCTATAACTTGTGGTGGAAATATGTCATCGTTAAAAGGCGCATCGTTAAAACTCACTTTTCTTGTAGTGACCCTCCGGTAAGTACGAAAAAAAAATTCAATAAATATTTTTCATTATTATAAAATTAAGTACAAGAAATTCTAATAATTTACCGATTAAAGAAATATTATTTATCTTTATTATGCAATAGCATATAATGAATGACTCATTAATATTTTTTTTATTTTCTTCTACAATGTAATTAGTTGATATATTTTTGGACACTTATTATCTACTAAATTCTTTTTGTCTCTTATTATATGTTACAATTTTTTAGGTTTCTTTAATTTATTAAATTTTTTTAGACTATTATTGTATTTTAAGAAAAAAATTTGGTTCCTGCCGCCCTCCAGGGCGGCGCTGTTTATAATTGTAATCAATTTAACGGTTTTTATTGTAAAAATAAGGATTTATTTTAAAAAATGTTGTGTATCGTAAAGATACGTAATAAAGATTTTAGCCGTTATGAAATTAAATGCAATGTTCATCAACAAACATCATTTCAACTTCGACTCCATCCACCAAACCTATAAATAGGGTTTACGACTCCGCCTCCTTCTTCCTTGTTCATCTTCTTGTGAAACTGCGATTTCTCAAAACTTTAGTCTCAGGATGATGGATTCTTCAACTCCCTTCGCTACTTTTCTCCAACTCTCATCTGATCTTCTCTCTCTTGGCGATCCACCGTACTCTCGATCTGGTTTTACAAAGTCAAATTTACTCACGCTCTGCTACTGTGATGTGTAGAAACCGGTGAAGTTTCAAGAAATTTCCATTCATGTTGTAACTTTTGGTCTTCATGATTAATTAGTGGTAAGTGTTGATGTTGATTCAATCTTTAATTATGCGGTTAAAAGTAAAACATCTTCTGATTTATGAATTTATTTGAACCAAAACAGGATATGATCAAAATTAATGGATTCGACAGAAACTCGTTTTCTTTTTAAGTACCAACCCCAACTTGGAGTTCTTGAGAAGGCCTACCTGCCACAAGGTAAGGAATAGTTGATTCTCACTAATATTTGTCTTTCTTGATTTTTTTGTCAAGGGTCAATTAAAATCTAGTTATTTCCCCTGCATCGATAAGGTCCTAGCAACCATACCATATTCTTGTTGGTCAATTTATTAGAATCATCTAGCTGATTATATCAATATTAGAACCAAAATAGGACTCACAATGATCAAAATTACCCTATTTATGTGAAGCAACAAACAAGGATTCATCCATTGATAGTAGTTCTTGAGAGAAGTCAGCCAAGAAGTTGGGCTCTGCACACCACAATGCAAGGAATAGAGCGATAGAGCTTATATACATTCATGAACGAGAAACAATTAAAGGATCAAATTGTTTTTCATTGATGGTTCTTTTGTAATTGTTTTGTGCCTTGAATATACTTGTTTCTCACTAATATACGTGCTTTGTAATGAAGCTTTTACATTTCCTTTCCATGACATTAAGGTTTCTGACATGGATATATGGGATGACTTAAAAAAATTGGTGCAACTTTTGTTCTTGGGTACGTTACTTTTATATGTCAAGGAAGTCTTATTGCTAGTTTCAGGTATGATGGAGGTGCGTCTGGCAAGGCAGGTAATCTTTAACTCATTGCAGGTGCTAGATCTCATGGCAGTTGAGCACCTATGGATTGCTTTAAATGGAATGATGGTTGTAAGTTCATTTCTTGATTTCATTTGTCTAGATATACTGATCACCGTCTTAAGATACGCTATATTTATATCTCATTTTGACTCTTAAATGTTTTCAGAAAACGAAGTTAGTTCTATTTAAAATAGCAATAAATTACATTTCACATGTGGTTTCTGATGTGAACTTCCCTCGAATATTTTCTCACAGCTATCCTTTAATGTTGCAGGTACTAGAGCTCAAAGTTGGAAGCTGAAATGCCTTTACATGGAGTGATGGTTGTAAGCTTATTTGACTAGATATACTGAGCCCAAGCCATGCCACCCCTGTTTATTACTGATCCAAATGAAATTAGACCCCAAGCCAAACAATTTAATGCAAGATCAGTATAGGCAGTCGGCTTGTGTTTGTTTGCTCAAACTTATTCAATACTGTAATTACATGCAGAGTTTGTCCAGGACAGGCCAGCATCCGCTAGTTGGCCAGTGAAGAGCACCAACACTGCCACTTTCCCAAATATTGATCCCTTACGACCCTACCCTGTCCTAGGTCCTGCTAAAAAGGGTTAGTAGTGAATGCATTTGATTTGTCTTCCTTGTATATTGGAGGTCTTACATATCATCAATTTTGAACTTCTTCTCACAAATTTTGAATGGTCAATGACTCCTTTCAGTTGTTAATTGTCGTAATAATTCCCTTTTCAGATTCAGCATGGCTTGGCTCTGGCTGCTGACAAATGTGCATGTTCGTGCTCATGACTCTTGTACCACAGGGTTGTAGTCGCAGGTAAGCATTCAACCTACTATAAAATTGAGTTGCATGTAGAAGAATATTTAGAGTTTTGGACCAACATCTGAATGTATCGTGAAACTTTTTGTACTTCTATTCGTGCTTGATCAAGAAACCACAAATTTTTAGATGATCACGTTGCTATATGCAGAAAACCAGTTGTTCATGATTAAGATAAGGTTTCATGAGGCATGGTTGAGATAATGTGTGCAAGACTGTTGGACATTATTGGATGTTCCAGGACAATGTTGAATACTTGAGCCAAATAAAAGCAACAATAGCTGTATGATACACTTTTTAGGCTAGTTAGCCCATGGGCAAGCCTGGCCCGTTTATAGGGTGGGCAATGGCAAGTTGTCAAGCCCAAAAAAAGGGCTTGGGTTTACAATATTAGGCCCGTTGGACAAAAAAACAAGTTAGGCCCGGCCCGGGCCCAGCCCAGGCCTGCAAATGATCATCTCTAGCTGTATCTAAGTGTGAGTTATGGCTTGAGTAATGAAATGCACCTGTATAGACCATCCTCTTTCCTGATATACTATAATTATTTGATTTTTTTGTTGTTTGATACTGCTTGAGTAATGAAATGCACCTGTATAGACCATCCTCTTTCCTGATATACTATAATTATTTGATTTTTTGTTGTTTGATATTCTATCTTTGTTCCCTCTATATCATTTTTTTGTTTATTATTTATACCAACCCAAATTTTAATTGATTTTTATAGATTTGGAGTGGTTCTATTCTTGTTATAGTTATGCACACAGCCATCAATGCAGGTAGACAGAGGGAGCTTATCTATTTTAATCGTAATGATTGGTAAGTTCTGTATATGCATACAGACGTAAACCAACTATAAACTGGGAATTTAAGAAATCTGTGTTTCTCTGTTTTTTTTATGAAATTGATAATTTCAATATGCTTTAAGAATGTTCTTTCAATGGATTTACCTTCTCTATCAAGTATTCGTTATTGGAAGCTACCGAGTACACTTTTGAATGTTTCATAAAAGTTATCTGCTAAATCGTAGTCTGTCCATGACCATGAGCATGCTCTGCGTGGTGTTCTGTATTAATCTCATCATTTCTTTTATTATCGTTTAATTAAGCTTTTGAACCGCATCTAAGCTACCAGATAGTTGTGTTTCTTCCAACTGGTTTTCCCATAGCAGTGGCTTCACATCTAGTTGTTGTAGAAACCGATCCAGATTAGCAACTATAGAAAGTAAGACTCTGATTGTATATAGTTTGGCTAAAAAGTGCAAAAGTCTCATAGTGTGACCTTCTTTTTTGAGTAAACATGGAGATTAAGGATTTCTAATCGATTTGGTTGTGGATATTACAATGGATACTTTGAATCAAGTGATGGAAGTGTATGGACGTTGCCTTTTCAACGGATACATCAAAATCACTACTCACTTGTGTTTGTAGATCTGCTCGTGTATTTGAAGAAAGGTTCACCATGATTATGATTATGTTCCAGCAGTGCTAACTTTCATGTTCCCTTTGGGAAATCTTTATGAAGCTTTGGCTCGAGGTACATTTTTTCTACTAATTGAACAGGGTGATTTATGCAAACACTGCTCCTTGCTCATTTACCTATTTTGCCGTCTCTTTCGGTTTAAAATGAGCAGAGACTATTTCTATAACTCAGCTGCTTAGATTCTTGGAATAATCTATGCATGCCTTTGCATTTCATCTTGGTAATGCTTGCCAACCATTAACGTTGCTAACCTTATTTTCTGAAAGAAGGCACTGCAAAAGATATATTGAAAGGAAAAAACATGGAATCCTGATTCACTAGCAAGACAATCTAAACAAAGTGGTTCTCTAGACTTGTTGAGCCCTCAACTCAACTTGTTGCCTTTGCATGCAAGTGCACCTCTGGAGAGCATAACATATTCCAGATTAGAACGAGTGCTCTTGGATACCATTTGTGAATAGAAGTTGGAAGAAGAATGCTAAACCTGCCCTTTCCAGGTTAATTTGTTAGTCATCCATGGTCTGATTTTATTTGTCTTGGGGAAAACAGAGGATTTTGAACACTTTAAGCATTAGAACCAACCCAATTTTCTAGGAATATTATTTGTTTCTTGAAATCACAAAGAGCTCCGGAAGTAGATATATAGAGCTCCAGGACCCAACTGATTATCCTCCTAAGGATTGCTGATTGCCTATCAAGTATATTAAACCCATCCCAAATCTAGAAGAGAAAAGGTTTGCATTCTTCATTGTCCCCTTCCGCAGCCCTATGCCATGACTCATGAGGACTGGAAAGGTTTTTCGGTAGTCCAATTGCCTAGATGAATCCCGTATTTGGTGTCAATGAGGGTTGTCCACAGTTGATTCGTGCATGCCACAGCCTTTTGGATCTTGTTCTTTTGACATATGGAGTTGCTTTCTTTCTTAGATGAGCACCATAAAGGAAGTTTCTCATTAGCTTTCATTCTTAAGGGTGATTCTATGCCAGATTCTGTGTGGCCTTAACTTCTTTGCCCACACTTGCTAATAAATGGAATATACTCCTTTAGCCCCTTGGTCAAGGATGTGCTGTGGCTGTAAATCCTCTTTCAGCTCATCAGTTTTTTTTCCTTTCCTTTTTGTTTCATGCGGGTTTGTATATTGTGGCGCCGAGGTCATCGGGAGCTATACCAACAGCCTCTCTGCTTGTATGCGGTAAGGCTGTGTGTTAATCCCTTCCACTGCTCTACGAAGATAGGAGCATGGTGTACTTGGGCCATCCATGGAGCCTAACACTGGACCAACTTTTGTAATACATTGGCGGTTGCCATTTAGCATAGAGTCTGGATTCATTGCTGGTTTCTGGTTCGTGTTGGCTCCGTTGATAGTCAGCACGAGATGGAGGATTGCATATTTGCATTGCTATTCAATAATTAGTATGGGTATAACATGTTTCTTACTTGATGAAGAATGTAGTAATATTTTTATGATGAACGTGGGTTTGTTTTTGGAATGTTTTTATGTATGTTGTGAGAATGTTGGGTTTGACTTTGTAGTTGTCTTTTACATTGCATCTTTCTCACTGATCTCTTAAGCAACCTGAAACTAAATACTCTCCTGAATCGATATGAACAGGAAGCAAGGAAAGATAAAGAACAAAGTGAGTTTTACAAGGTTAAGGGTGTTTATGGCAGTAACAAGTGGATGACATACATAAGAGAATTTCCATAAAGACTTCAAGCACAGAAGACATGCAAACCAAACTAGAGAGAAACAAGATTGAATCATCAAAAGCTCGTAAAGTGGAACAGTATGTGACCTCAACACCAGGAGTGTTCGTCTTCATGTCTCTTTCTGATATTTTTCAACCTCTACTCTTCTTGCCAATTTGCATATATGTTAAAATCATTCCGCAGTTTACAGAGCCAAAATCTGTCACAGAAACCAAAAGGAATCATGGATCTGTTCTGAGAGCAATATTGCAAGCAAAAGTTTCGAATGCAATAGCGAGCATTTATGGAAGGATGGGCGGTTTTGTGGTAAGATTTATTTTAAACAACCAGACATATATGAGTCATCTGAGTTGCACTGTAATATTTCTAAATGTGACCATCTTCAATCTGTAGCTAGTGAGGGCATGCCTATGATGGCTTGCCAGGATCTTCAACTGTTTTTTCCCAATGTTTTGAAATAATATTATGGGAATCTGATAGTAGAATAGAGACAGTTTAAGCAACATGCCTTGAGTAGTTGGGCGAAAGGGGACAAAGACCACAAAAGAAGACCTGTTGACATAGTGAGTTTGTCTCCATAGACCTTTAAAAGGATGGCCTAGAAGAAAAAATGTTTATAAGTTTTTTCATGCAGGAAAAACAAGTTGATCATATGTCTATAGCGATTTTTCTCTCATYCAGACATCTCTTTGATCTGATCAAGGTGTAAGTTGGCTTTTTATTTCTTGGTATTTTCCCTCTTCAATTGGACTTTGTTAGAATATCWTGCTTAAATCTACAAAAAACACACTGAGCATAGATCAAGGAACAGGGCATTTATGTAATTATATAAACTTTAAGCAGTTTTTTCAAATGTTTTCAACATTGAGCATAGTTTCTCAAATTGCCCTTTTCAAAATTTGAAATTTAATTGTATGAGCAATAGGTCTTACATGTACAGGGTCCTGTACCCATGACAGGCCTCCTTCCGGGGGGGTCCGAGCCATCAATGAGATACCACGGTAGTACCCTCATTGACTTCGGCTTTACTAATGACTAAATTTGTTAATTAACCATTTTTCTTACTGTCATTTTTATTTAATTATGAAATATAAATCATAGTAATATAGTTAAAAGAGTTCAATTAGTTATTAAATTAAAAAAAATTATCTATGATATATACAAGTATAGATAATCACATGCAATCAACAAATATCTTTGTTTAAATATGAAATATAAAAATAGTGAAAATTCTATGTATACTTAAATATTAACAAGCCTGATGAAGAAAAAAGTGGATGAAGATCAAAAGAAGTACATGACAAAAGCCTCCCATAACATAGAGGAGATAAGTTTTTTTCTTCTGTATCAAGTTATGGGCTGCAATACAGTTTTTAATTCTTTTTAGTGTCACTAGTCTTTTTATATGAAGAAGCTATTTAAATAAAGTGAACGTAATACCACAAGAGATCTTTGACCTAAAACAGCAGCTATGGCTTCTATTGGCATCAATGCTGCAATGCAAAAAGCTTGCAGCTCTTCTCACCTCACTAACAAAGAACCATCTCTGCCCAGAACCACGCCTTCTTTCAGAACCAAGAAAACCACTACATTTGTAGCACTGAATGTTGAAGCCCAAATGGCTCTAAACACACCCGAAGAACAAAATCACATCAACAATGGAGTCACAATTGGTGATGGAGCAGAAACTTCTAGTGTCAAATTTGCTGATGAGCGATGGAAACATGGGACTTGGGATTTGAATATGTTTGTGAAATCTGGAACAATGGATTGGGATGCTCTGATTGTTGCTGGTGAATAATTATCATCCATATTGTTTATGCCAACACACACACACACACATATATATATATATATATGTATGTATATTTGACTTTATGTTGGTACTGAATCAAATGTGGACCTTTTATTTATTTAAACCAGGGTAGTAAATTATACATTATGCTTGAGTTTGTTGGTTTTACAGAAGCAAGGAGGAGAAAGTTTCTTGAATTGTATCCAGAAGAAGCAACAAATCATGATCCTGTGCTGTTTAGAAGCTCTATTATACCCTGGTGGGCTTGGGTTACACATTCTCACCTTCCTGAGGCTGAGTTGCTCAATGGTTAGTTCCCATTACATCCTCTAATTCATACTTGTACAACTAGTTATTCACAAATATACAACCCATGAGGCTGAATTGCTTGTCTCTCTGCAGTTTCTAGTTTTAGATCAGTCAATTTGATCTAAGTAATTTATGATGGTGTAGGTCGAGCGGCAATGATTGGGTTCTTTATGGCTTATCTTGTGGATGTTTTGACTAGGCTTGATGTTGTGGGGCAAAGTGGTAATTTCATATGTAAGATTGGATTGTTTGCTACAGTCATGGGTGTAGTCCTTTTTCGGCAAACCAATTCTCTACAGGATCTCAAGAATCTAGCAGATGAGGCCACATTTTATGATAAACAGTGGCAAGCTTCATGGCAAGATCAAGATTCAAGTGATGACACATCAGGAAAAAAATGAAACCTGTGTATCATTTATTAACAAAACTGCTTGTCTGCATTTCCAATCATAAACTTAAATTACATGTACGAAACTAGTTAGAGTCTTGGACAATATATGAATGTACCCTGAACATTTTTGTACTTCTATTCTTGCTTGATCAAGAAACCATAAATTTTCAGATGATCATGTTGCTATCTATAGAAACCAGTTGTTGACGATCAAGATAAAGCTGTATCTAAGTATTAGTTTTGGCTTTTTCCAGGGGTTCCTTACCGTTTTTCCAAAAGGAAAAAAAGCGAGCTTTGGCTTTACCGGTGAAATACCCCTTCATAGACCAACCTTATGCCCTCATTCCTGATCTACTGTGATACTATATTTTTGCTCCCTCTCTATCTTTTTTTGTTTATTTTTTATACTAACCAAATCTTTTGAATGTTTCTTATAGATTTGGAACAGTCTTATTCTTGTTAAATTTATGCATTCAGCCATCCTTGCAGGTAGATTGAGGGAGTGTAGTTGGTGTATTTCTATTTTAATCGTAATGATTGGTAATAAGATCTGTATATACATAGAGATGTATGTCAACTATAAACATATTTTGTTGGTAATTAAGAAATCTGTACATCTCTAGTCCTTTTATGAAATTGATAGTTTCATTGTGCTTTAAGAATGTGTTATTTCAACGGTCTTTTTAGTACACTTTTGAATGTTTCATAAACCATTTGCTAAATCATAGGTTGTCCATGAGCATGCTCTGCTTCGTGTTCTGTCTTCTTCTTATCATTCTCAGATGATTTGTCATTTATTTTATTTAACGGTTATTTGAACTTTTGAATGGCATCTAACAGAGAGTTTTATTTCCTCCAAACTGTTCTTCCCATAGCAATGGCTTCAGCACTATCTTCTGATTCATGTATAATCAATGGTGAGTTTTTTTTAGTAATTGGTTTTCTCGTGAATGGATCTATATGAGAGATGGTCTTGTTAACCATATGCTTTCACATATCTCATGAACCAGGACACAGAATTCTGCTCCTGAACTACTACAGGCTACAACTTGTTGTTTCTTGCTTTGCCATGTGACAAGGTTCCCACAAACATACATGGATCTTCCATTCCTAGCACTGCCAAACCCAGTATGTAGAGGTAAAAACTTCTATGTCTGCTCTCCTTTTCTATAAGATTATATTTTTCATGTTTTGATTTTCAAGTATCTAAGGGGCTGTTTGGTTGGTTTTTCATTAAGTCCTAGATGGATAAAGTTGTTTGTGTGGATTGGGAAGGTTTTTTCATAGCTAGAGCCTAGAAGGAGCATGTTTTTTAATTGCGAGGGGAATATTTGGAAAAAAGAACCTGGCTTTCTGCATAAAGCCTTCCCCTAGAAGCTTACTGAATAAGCCACTTTCTATACCATCAAGCCACTACCAAACAATCATGTATAGTTGACCAAATAGCTATGAGTCCCGTTAAGCTAATTTAGTTGGTAAAAACAGGCCCTAAGTAGACTTGGGATCGTGTGATAATAAGAGTTATGGTGAGAATGCTTATATTCGTTGATGCATATACATTAAATGAATTTCAGCAAGTATATGGATCAATGTATATCTTTTGATACATAGTAAATGAATTTTGTCGTCCTTTAAATGTTAAGTAAAGAGAGTATGATCCAATGGAGCTTGTCGATAGCCTCTAGATTTCACGACCTTGGTGAATTAACCAAACCATGTTCGTGGAGATTGGGTTAACCCACATTTTAAATGTAGCAACTTGCATGATTTCTACAGGTGAAAATGCCTTACCCTTGACATAATATGGTTGTTGGATATCGAGTCAATATATTGTCTTACTATGTATCTTGTAAGACTGAACCCAGTTGGGTCTGTATCGGACCTAAAATCCAAGTGTGGGAACTGGTCATAATTGGGGCCTTGCTTTAAGACAATTGCATACGAATACCAGATGAGCCCTTTGTCTTTGTGCATGTGAACCATGTACATGCGTTGGCAACTTGACTCCCAAATTTCACAAAGAGACAAATATATCAAGGGTCTCTATGTAAAAGTCCAAAACATCGGCTTTGGAAACCAGCCCAAAATAGATGTTTATTAGATATATAAAATATTTTAATAATATAATAAATGTTGTAATCTCCAAAACGAGAATAAGCTAGAGCTGAAATTAATTTTTCTTTTAGAGATTTTAAATTTTAATTCTTCATGTTGTAGAAATTTTAGAGAATTTGCTCTACTTCATTATATTAAAAAGAGTTAATTACACTCATGGTCCTTGCGATGTGCTCAAATTTTGGATTTTTTTTTCTTGAAACACTATCTAAAGTGATGGTCCTTAGCTTTTCAATAACACTCGATGTTTTAGCAACCGTGTGGATAGTTTAAGTATGGGGTCGATGGTTACTAATCGATGACTTAAACTCGAAGATCTTGAATGTTATGAAATTAAAAAAAATTAAAGATGATTAATAGAGGTAGTTGACACCAAATTTGAGCACTTGGACCACTAGCGTGATTCACTCTATAAAAAATAGAGACAGTCTCATATTATTGACTTTTTGTTATCAACAAATCATTACAACAAAAGTTCATATGAACAGGATAATATCGAATGAATTATCTAAAAGTATATTTTATTCGTATTTTTTGTATCTTTCAAGAAACGATGTTAGAGTTCAGACTCAACCCATAACTTGCAATAGGAGAGGCTAATGAAGTAATGATGCCCCTATCTACTACTAATGGCACCCCTAAAACTAYTTCAATCATCATTTTTTTTGGTTTTTAGTGCTTTTTTTGTCTTTTTGTTATTATTACATCTTGTCTTATTATTATTTAAA